GTGTTCGTCAGACCTCTAACCATTGACCAACCTGGTATGAGAGACTCTGTGAGTGTCGCGGGACACTCTCCAGTATAGCTCAATGGATCGCTGAGTGCGCAAACCGTCACACCACGATAAGGTCCAGTCTCTTCGTGACGGGTACTAACAGATGCCTGACATAATGCAAGCGAAAATCGACATTGTGGCCCTACAACCTGTTTACCCAGAGCAACAGTGGATCTACATCTGTACCAACCGTGCATCCTACGGTGGAGCATGGGCTGCGGTAGCCCGTGACAGTGGGACCTGCTGTTCTCTACCAGGAAGCGTCCCCCCGATTTAGAGTCGTGCGTTTTGCACACGAAGGACAAGATAGCAGGGCCTATTAAACACTTGAGTGGCCGCATTGAGCATCGCAATTTACTACACGTGAATCTGCGATTGACCTGCGACAACCATCAAACCCGAGCTTGATGTTATCTTTGAATTTCAGGATTAAGTCCAAGTATCGAATCTCTCAGTGAGTATTCATCGCTCGGCGAGTCAAGGGAATAAATGGGAGGTCTGTAGTCAGTAAAGATCACGATTAACGTGCTTCGTGGCCCTAGTGGTAGATAGACAAACAGACGACGGAGAGCTTGCGGTCGAACATGCTGTTTTTTGGCGTTTGTATATGCTTCTTATTAGATGCATATACCAGTCAAGCAGGGATGAACGCGTAAGTGGCTACTTTGATTAGACTAGATGTCTTTATTGAAAAAAAACAACCGAAACTTTTATCCTTACTTTTGTGCTTAATTTTCAGGTTTCTGAAGAATGAACTCGAGTTCCAAGAAGTTAGTTTTCCTGTTTCCTCGCGAACTCACGCCCAGATTTACCTTTAAACCTCTTAGGAGTACACTAAGAGCTTTGACGCCCCAACAGAACCCCGAAGTACGGTCATTTTCAGTTGAATGACGAATTTAGAAGCCTTCGGTCGGTCTTCATCGACCGTTATTCACGGAAAATATAGCTAACAAAACCAGCTTTAATGGAACTGCGAAATTCGTTCCTACAGCTACTGTGGTTCCACTTCGGTTGGTGATTCTCGGTGGTAATATAGGCTTGATGGTTTTAGGAAGTCTGGCCCTCCAGCGAGATCACCCTCTCCCGATCTTAGTGACTCGTCAGTACACATTGGTAAGACTGCGTTTCACGCGTAAAAGATCGTTCCAGAAGGTGCGCATGAAACTGTATGTTAATATCTTTGTGCCTGGGTAATTCACTTTTATTGGATTTTCAGGCTGTCGTCTCAGGTACTTATGTTGGTAACTAGTCCTTTTATTAGTTGAAATTTAATAATTCATCCGTACAGACGAACCTCCATCTCCTTCGTGGTTTGATGAAGTCGAGCAATCTTCTCTTTTGAATGATCACCCCGTTCCATCTCCACTGGGCAACTCCAGTCGAGCAACGAGTTCCTCCGATTGGCTCCATCCAACCCCCAATTCTTGTGTTCAGGCAGATATCCTGACTGTTGTTCCTTCAACAGGTGCTGTCTCTGCAGTCACGACTACCCCTTTCGCTCCTCTACCATCTGATGAAAGATCTCCATGCGTTGAAGTTGCTAAAACTCCTGCCCTAGGACAAGATTGGTCGACCTTATCAGATGTACAGTCATCTTCAGACCATGTAGTGATTACTAGGCGACTGTATGAATTAATGCAAAATGTTTGTGATGCCATCGAATCCCTCCCCATGAATAAGCTTCTCGCCTGCTTTGGAGACAATCTTACAACAATTAGTCAGTTTCTTCATGAGCGGTAAGTTTTCTCTTTGTCTGACACTAGGCGTATATATACCTATGCACGTTCATTCAGAAATAACAAAGGAATGGAACCAACGAGTGCGACAGCTAACTATACATTTGTGGATCCAATCACATCCCCGATCAGACCCAGTCGAATGGAACCTAAAAAACCATCCACCCCCTCTACACTCCGTGAAGCAATGGCATCAGCTTGCAAACCCACAACTCCAATCAACCAGGTAACTTGATGTTTTTTCTCACATTACTGGTGCATTCGTCTTCGCTATGCGGATAAAACCACGTCGATTTGAACCGTATCTTCCGCGCTTTGTATCTATTGGCAGTATGGCGTCGGTTAATCGTTGGTTACAACCAATCACTTTGTTATTAACACAGAAGAAAGTTTGAGGTAGCTCAGTGCCTAAGGCATGAAATCACTGAGCGGAAGGTCTGTGGTCCGAACCTAGCCTCAGTATCTCGACTTTTCCTGTCTAAGGTTGGGTAGCTTGGCAGTATCTCAGCCCTTGTGCTTTCCTCGGATGGCACGGTAGCTGGGCGCCGAAGGGGTGTTAAAGCTGGATGACACCAAGGAGTGTAAAGTGATCATGAAAAAGTTCCAGGACAACTGTTTGGTGCTGCTTTGTCAGAAGTTTCGATTGTCATTTTCGGCAATTCTGCCCGTTACAGATCGATTTGCGATACTTTTATTGTGTTCGTGCGACTTCGTAACATACACTTTCCCTTTCTCTTTCGTGACAGCTGCAGATTTTGGGGTCATATACTCACTTTTCACCTTAAAGCACTTTTTTTCTGGTTCATGGTGAGCCTGTTTCAGAACAATTTCGGACATCAGCTATCCACGGGTTTCGGTGGACTTCCAGATCTGCGCAAATCGTGACACGGTGTTGATTCTAGTGATGGAATCTTTAGATCGGGGGAAGACCAAGTTGCCCTACGTAGTCTGACTCTAGTAAGCCATGTCCTCCGGAATGACAACATTATCTTTGACATGTTATAGGTGTCAAGGTCCGTTTCGGGATCCCAGAATTGCTTTTGCATAATAAATGTCTATTGAAGGACGTGAGGCAGACGTACTAGGTCGTGACAGCGCCTCTTAATCTCGTCACCGTACACTTTCTCAGCGCTCGTTGAAGGTACAAACGGTCGAAAACATTTAGATTTCGAATATCCCCTCCCACCTGAAACGTTTCGCAAGCCTAAATCAAGAGTGGACGGGTCTCCACGTGGAAGACCTGAAGTATTTTGTGCCGACTAGCTTCAGCTTTTCCCCACAGCGCGTCGTTCATCTGAATGAAACCATGTCTAGCACTGTCGACCCAATGTTGAGCTTCCCTCAGTTGCCCACGTGCTTGAATGTTGTGAGGTTATTGTGCTTTCGGGGGATTGGTGATTTCACTGAGGTGCATTAGTCTAAAGAAACAGAATCCTCATACCAAGCATATTGGTTTATAAAGGGGTCCGAGAAGTACTCATGGTGGGCTTAAACTGGGATCTCGTTTTCTTCGGGGAATTATCCGTTCTTCAGTTATTTACTGATGCATAGCACTCCAGTCCGCTTGGATATTCGTAGTTGCTGTCATGATGTTGAGTTTGGGTTTGTTTGGAGATCTTGGGGCTGAGCCAATCGAGCAGTTTTTTGAGGTATTCCACTCAACGTTGCATTTTGTCTGCATGACCTCTGATTAAACGTCCACTTGCATCAACGAGTAGACGTTGTTCAAACTAGGATTTTTGGAGTGATTCGTATGAGGCAATAAAGTCGTTTGAAGTACTTCACGTTGGGTGCGGAATTTATGGCTGTTGTGGAGTCCTACCAGTATGATATTCTATCCCTTCTGGTGGACACTGGCATGTCACCACAGCATGCGATATTCAGCTGCTTTGATGAGACAGTCTTCTGTTAATTTTTTGATGAGGACATTTCCACAAACACCAAGTCTTTGATGTCGTCTCATATAGCCTAGCTGGTCCGCAGTGGCCCATTAAATTGAGGTTTTCAATGATGAGGCGTTTTATATATGCTTGTCTGTATATCTGTATAGCCGTGTGACTGTCATTCGAGTACCACGTCAGCAAGTGTTTCCTTGAATGCTGCAAATATTCATTGCTCACAGCGATTTGGTTTGCGATTGTGAAGTTAATGGCCCTATTACCATTCTGATCAATTACGTGATGAGTGCTGACGTCCCTTACACCAAATGGGTGTTTCAAGATTCAGTATTATCAAACCATTTCGTCTGATATTTCGATGGTCAGCGGTTGAAGTTGTTTGCAGAACTCATTTTTGACGCTTGAGTACAATGCAGACGTTAGAGAATCTATGGCAATCAACGTCAATTTCACGGCGAGTTCTGAGGATACTAGTGACCAGAGTACATCTTTGATACGGATACTCAGTGCGAAGACAAAGCTGCGAAGGCCTGAGTTGTTGGCTGATCCATTGTGGTATAGTTACTGAGAATAATCTGTTTCAAGCACCCGGCCGGATTGATACCGTAGTTGGGTAATTGGGTTTCCGATAAGTATATGTTTGACCGATACTCGCAGAGATCTGTTACCGGGACTGGAGGAGGTAAAAAGGGCGCGGACGTTCTAAAAGCTTACCAAAGGTTCTTTTTTTTTGTTGAGGATCTCAACCTGTATTTGGTCGCTTCAAACCACCGAGCCGACCGAGTGTGTGTCGCATTCCGGAGACACCGTACGCTGAACGGAATTGCTTAGAAAAGACATTATCTCTGAAGGTCATAGAGGCTTGCCCCTTTATACACTGATTATGCTGCTTTACTCCACGGGGTTCCTTCAGGTAGAGGTTAGGAGTACAGGTTGTCCATTCCAGCACATTCATCAGATGATGATGTTAAATATGTTGTCTTGCGTTTCCTTGTTCGGGTGTCATGCCATTCATGGCATTATTTTGCTAATTTTTAAGATGAGAAGGTACGCTAAACCGGAGATCTCCGATTGAAAGTGGTATACTTCCTACAGGTGTGATGTCCACTATTTCTGTATTTCTTTTGTCGAGATGGAAGTAGCGTGTTTAAATTGAATTGGTGCATAAACGTGCATTTTGTTATAACTTATAACTACTATAGAAGCAAGTTAGCATGATGTAGCTCAGTGGTTAAGGTGCGAACTTATCGACCGGAAGGTCCGCGCTCTGAATTCAGCCTCTGCATCTTGACTGCTTCTATCTAGACTTGGATAACCTGGCTGTTTCTTAACCTTCGTCCTTCCTTCGGGTGGCGTGGCACCTATACACCGAAAAGGTGTTACAGCCGAGCGATTATTAGGATTATGATTATTATTTTATTGACAAAGCCATCAGGAAAGTTTAGTATTTCTGGATTTCCAAAGCACATTCGACTCGGTTGACCGGTCTGTTCTCCGTGACGCGCTTTTCCATTAAAGAATGCTCCGGAAGTTTGTGAACATAATACGTTATTTGTATTCTTAGACTTCTGGGCGTGCGAGAGTATACAGAGTACTCTCCACGAGCTTCAGTACACAAAGTGGTGTCTGTCAGAGGTGCTCACTGTCTTCGTTCTTGTCTAATTTCGTGATCGATGAGATAATGAAACGAATGCCGTAAGGTCTTCAATACCCCGGTGTTTAATTGGCCTCTGATGAAGGCCTTTTCGATCTGGAATATACGGACGATGTCATTCTGATCTTTGAATAGGAGAAGACACAGATGTTCCTGGATGAATTGACCGAATTCACCCCATACTTGAGCATGCGCTATGAATCCGGTCTTGCTCGTGGACGCCAGCACGCCACTTACAATCCAGATAGAGGTACTCGATGTTGTACAGCTTTTTATTAGTTCCGATTGTAGTGTAACAGATGAGGTCAATGCACGAATCTGCAAGGCTCAGGGCGCGCTTGTCAATCTGAAGCATCTATGGCGTCAAAGCAGTATTTCCCTGAATCTCGAGAGACATGTGCTGCACAGCTATGAGCCTTATCTGTTCTATCATTGGAAACTGAAATGTTTTAGGAGTTCGACAAACATTTTCTTAGAACCATACTTCGTGTGGTTTGGTGTCGGCGAATCCGCAACGAGGCATTTTGCCAGTGGGTATTCGGTTTTTCAACGCGGAGTTTTATCGAAGTCTGTGTTCAGCAGCAAAAGCTTTGTTGGTTACGGCATGTATCGCGCATGTGGAACCATTGTTTGCCGAAGAGGGTGTTGTTTTCCATGCAGAGACCTATGAAAGAGACTCGAAAAGTCCGGATGCTGTCTGTGCTACTCGCCTTTCAGGATGGGGACCGTGTGATCCCCACTGCGCATGGTTGGAGACGCTGAAAGAAATGGCCGTTAATCAATGTCAGTGACGCTCTTGTTGTCAGTTTCCATTCAGATTTCCTGAATGGATGTCTGGAGTTTTAGGTATCTTAGAATAATTGTGGTAGACGAACACTAGATCTGGGAGGGTTGGCGATTCGGGGAGAAGGAGGCCTCTTCAGATCTTTGATTACCGATGTCCCAGAACTGTAGGTGAAATAGGTTGGAACCAGTGACTACGCAATAAGTTGATCAGGAGATGGGTTTCTGGTGAAACAGACGGTATTTCAATCAAAGAATGTATCCAGCTGTGCAAACTAAGGTGACTGGGTCATACGTTACACATGCCCAGTTACCGCCTCACAAGACGAGCACCGTTTTGTGTGCCTCATTAGGAGATGCGAAAACTTAGAGGTGGATGTACTTTATCCATGACAGCGGACATATCCTCCAATAAAACAATCGGTATTCACAATAAATTTATGATAGTTGTGCCCTGGTCCGAACTCCTGGAGATCAGAAAAAACTGGAGGGTATACGCTTAGAAAGACCTCTGAAGTACATAGATGTCAATCGGATCATTTAGCCAATGGAATAACGAATGCTGTGCCACTACGCACTACTCCCCACCCTACAACCCCTTTGATGATCTCACCTCGGTTGGTTATGAAACATTTTTTGATCAGATTGCCCTGCTCAGCAAACTAACCAACGACCACTTACGTTACCTACCAACGTTATCTTCAATAGAAATCCATATATTTTCGTNGTATATGTTTGACCGATACTCGCAGAGATCTGTTACCGGGACTGGAGGAGGTAAAAAGGGCGCGGACGTTCTAAAAGCTTACCAAAGGTTCTTTTTTTTCTGTTGAGGATCTCAACCTGTATTTGGTCGCTTCAAACCACCGAGCCGACCGAGTGTGTGTCGCATTCCGGAGACACCGTACGCTGAACGGAATTGCTTAGAAAAGACATTATCTCTGAAGGTCATAGAGGCTTGCCCCTTTATACACTGATTATGCTGCTTTACTCCACGGGGTTCCTTCAGGTAGAGGTTAGGAGTACAGGTTGTCCATTCCAGCACATTCATCAGATGATGATGTTAAATATGTTGTCTTGCGTTTCCTTGTTCGGGTGTCATGCCATTCATGGCATTATTTTGCTAATTTTTAAGATGAGAAGGTACGCTAAACCGGAGATCTCCGATTGAAAGTGGTATACTTCCTACAGGTGTGATGTCCACTATTTCTGTATTTCTTTTGTCGAGATGGAAGTAGCGTGTTTAAATTGAATTGGTGCATAAACGTGCATTTTGTTATAACTTATAACTACTATAGAAGCAAGTTAGCATGATGTAGCTCAGTGGTTAAGGTGCGAACTTATCGACCGGAAGGTCCGCGCTCTGAATTCAGCCTCTGCATCTTGACTGCTTCTATCTAGACTTGGATAACCTGGCTGTTTCTTAACCTTCGTCCTTCCTTCGGGTGGCGTGGCACCTATACACCGAAAATGTGTTACAGCCGAGCGATTATTAGGATTATGATTATTATTTTATTGACAAAGCCATCAGGAAAGTTTAGTATTTCTGGATTTCCAAAGCACATTCGACTCGGTTGACCGGTCTGTTCTCCGTGACGCGCTTTTCCATTAAAGAATGCTCCGGAAGTTTGTGAACATAATACGTTATTTGTATTCTTAGACTTCTGGGCGTGCGAGAGTATACAGAGTACTCTCCACGAGCTTCAGTACACAAAGTGGTGTCTGTCAGAGGTGCTCACTGTCTTCGTTCTTGTCTAATTTCGTGATCGATGAGATAATGAAACGAATGCCGTAAGGTCTTCAATACCCCGGTGTTTAATTGGCCTCTGATGAAGGCCTTTTCGATCTGGAATATACGGACGATGTCATTCTGATCTTTGAATAGGAGAAGACACAGATGTTCCTGGATGAATTGACCGAATTCACCCCATACTTGAGCATGCGCTATGAATCCGGTCTTGCTCGTGGACGCCAGCACGCCACTTACAATCCAGATAGAGGTACTCGATGTTGTACAGCTTTTTATTAGTTCCGATTGTAGTGTAACAGATGAGGTCAATGCACGAATCTGCAAGGCTCAGGGCGCGCTTGTCAATCTGAAGCATCTATGGCGTCAAAGCAGTATTTCCCTGAATCTCGAGAGACATGTGCTGCACAGCTATGAGCCTTATCTGTTCTATCATTGGAACTGAAATGTCTTTAGGAGTTCGACAAACATTTTCTTAGAACCATACTTCGTGTGGTTTGGTGTCGGCGAATCCGCAACGAGGCATTTTGCAGGTGGGTATTCGGTTTTTCAACGCGGAGTTTTATCGAAGTCTGTGTTCAGCAGCAAAAGCTTTGTTGGTTACGGCATGTATCGCGCATGTGGAACCATTGTTTGCCGAAGAGGGTGTTGTTTTCCATGCAGAGGCCTATGAAAGAGACTCGAAAAGTCCGGATGCTGTTGGTGCTACTCGCCTTTCAGGATGGGGACCGTGTGATCCCCACTGCGCATGGTTGGAGACGCTGAAAGAAATGGCCGTTAATCAATGTCAGTGACACTCTTGTTGTCAGTTTCCATTCAGATTTCCTGAATGGATGTCTGGAGTTTTAGGTATCTTAGAATAATTGTGGTAGACGAACACTAGATCTGGGAGGGTTGGCGATTCGGGGAGAAGGAGGCCTCTTCAGATCTTTGATTACCGATGTCCCAGAACTGTAGGTGAAATAGGTTGGAACCAGTGACTACGCAATAAGTTGATCAGGAGATGGGTTTCTGGTGAAACAGACGGTATTTCAATCAAAGAATGTATCCAGCTGTGCAAACTAAGGTGACTGGGTCATACGTTACACATGCCCAGTTACCGCCTCACAAGACGAGCACCGTTTTGTGTGCCTCATTAGGAGATGCGAAAACTTAGAGGTGGATGTACTTTATCCATGACAGTTACACATGGTTACCGCCTCACAAGACGAGCACCGTTTTGTGTGCCTCATTAGGAGATGCGAAAACTTAGAGGTGGATGTACTTTATCCATGACAGCGGACATATCCTCCAATAAAACAATCGGTATTCACAATAAATTTATGATAGTTGTGCCCTGGTCCGAACTCCTGGAGATCAGAAAAAACTGGAGGGTATACGCTTAGAAAGACCTCTGAAGTACATAGATGTCAATCGGATCATTTAGCCAATGGAATAACGAATGCTGTGCCACTACGCACTACTCCCCACCCTACAACCCCTTTGATGATCTCACCTCGGTTGGTTATGAAACATTTTTTGATCAGATTGCCCTGCTCAGCAAACTAACCAACGACCATTTACGCTACCTACCAACGTTATCTTCAATAGCAATCCATATATTTTCGTTCTTGCAGATTTGCTTACTCTGTAATACGCATAAAAAACATCTGCATCTTACGAAGCCTTAGTCTCATTTGTTCATAAATGTTTGGCTTTGTCGGCTCCTGAATTGGGTGTGAATCATTTGAGCAGAAAAGGTCGTTTGTTGCGACGACCTCATGGAAGTACATACAGGAGCGGATATTACTGCTGGGCTGTTCATTGCGTGGAATCTGCAGCCTGTGTGTGTTGCATGGACGATGCAAACATAAAATTGATACCATTGTTGCTCTTTCTCATACTGCTATTGTCTTCCTCTGGTATTTTACTGGCCAGAGACCAGTCCTCCGGAAAAGATCCTGTGTGGTTAGTCGTTTGGAGCTTCTTTTGAATTTTCAGGCTGAGGGGATGCTTCTGGCCACTTTGGATAACGGATCACTCTCATATTTTCCTGTGAATTTCCCTCAAGATAAACCAAGGATTTTCTGCTTCTCTTACTGAAAGCCCAGAAAGGCGTTAACGATTCATCAAAGCGTAGTCGTTGCCATTTTGGTTAAACTGGGTGAATCGAACACCTGTACAGTAATTAATTGGTCCGTGCACGTCTATGTTTGCAAACTGCAATACTACTAATAATAATGTACTAACTGAAATAATGAAAAACCGCTGACATTTTTCAGTGGTCTAGTATCTTATTGCATGGTCCGTGAAGCGGACTGGTTGTTCACACTTATCAGCATGTTTAGATTGAGAACCATATATTTTCTGAGATTTTTCATTGCCACACTCCATTGACCACCGTCCAGTACCCCATTTATGCTCTACTTTATGCTTGATACAGGTCCAATAATTCATTCCAGTTTTGTTCAATGCTTGAACAAACTGCAACCACTGGCTTTCCTAAACAACTTGAAGCTTACAAATCACGTAGCTCAAGTACGGTATGAACCATTCGAGAGGAGAGGTGTATTCCACTGGCTGAAGTCACGTGTATATTTTTTTTAGCTAGTTACTTTTTTAGTCTTTCAATGGCTTCAGCGGTGTCAGTTCCCCTGTGGTAAAGACTTGGCCTCAGAAGGAGTTGTTTTTTTTACTTATCTTTGCTGAAAGAGCTAGCTGCATGAGACCTTAAATACCGCCAATGTAGACTGCGCAATTCAAAATAGCTCCAGGAAGTACCTAGACCTGGTATCTTCAAAAGATTTAAGGTTAAACAAAATAAGGTGCGGCTCTTGAACGCTGAAGTATGCCTGTGGATGAAAAAAAAACTTTTGCTTTTAAACCGCCACTTTACTACGATGAGACCTAAACCATCTTTATTTTTTTGCGTCCACTTGTTTCATTCCAGGCTCGACTACCGCCTACTAGTTCTTCGATTTCACGTACTGAGGACAGCTGGGGCGATTTCGATTTCGGCGAAAGTATTATTAAAACCACTCGGAAACCAGTTCAGTCTGTGCCTGGTGAATCGGTCGAGAAGCTTCCAAAGCCACCACAAACAACCCATTTAGTTGAAGCCACAAGACCAGTCCTACATGCAGATACTGGTGAAGGTGGTGTTTTTCTCCCTTTGTCCACCACATTTTCTAAGTGGGGTACGTCATTCATAGTACTGCGTGTTTTTCGGTTAATTCTTCCTAACAGTTGCAATAAAGGGCCTTCCAATGTGAATAGTTGGATGATTTTCATAGTGTTTTGCCGTTCCCTGTCTGTTTCAGAGGCACCAGTTTCTGCATCGCACCGAGATGATCATCCGGATGATGGTTCTACAGGAGAGTTCGATGGCACGGATAAATTTCCCCATTCTGAGAAGGTGATGGAGGCGTTTAGCAAGTTATTTGGGTTGAAGTCCTTTCGTCGCAACCAGCTCCAGGCCATCAACGCTGCTTTGCTTGGTCTCGATTGCTTTGTCATCATGCCTACAGGTGAGACAACCTTTCATTCCGCTAGCTGATGGTGTGGAAAAATCATCGATGGTCTTTGTGTTATCGATCCAACAAATGCTGGACTATTTCAATTGCGGAGCAATATAAGTTGAGCTGCGGGATTGCGTAGTTTCCATAGTCCCCTCGATGTTTTCACGAGAGAGGTGGAAAAATCACACCAAAGATCTGCAGTATAACTACTCTTATACAACGATGGAGACGCGGTTTAACATGTGAGATGTGTATCTTTCTGAAAGCGTTCTCTCTGTTCCACCTGAACACTCAAGTGACACCTAGACCGCTTGACTGTGCAATGTTAAGGGTGCTATCGTTAATTTCCAACTTATCAAAAGGGACCAGAGTATTATTCTGAGTGTGTTATCAAACCCTTAAGAGGCGCGGCTAATCCAATTTAAACCCAATCCCGGTTAGAAGTTCTACACTCGACCCTTGATTGTTTCCTGATTGTGAATTTGAACCTCATTCCCTGTATCATTTCGACTCGTGTTCCACTGCGAGATGGTTCGGTATTTAGAGGGCGAATTTACTGGCCGGAAGGTCTGATTCGAACCGGACCCCTATTTCCCTTGTCTAAGCTTGGGCAATGTGGCAGTATCCCAGCCCTCGTGCCTAATTCTGGTGTAATGGCAGTTAGGCACCGGAAAAGTGCTACAGCTGAACGATTTTTCATATCTGACTGGAGAAGAGATGCATGGCTGTTGCGTAAGAAGTGCAATCATATTCGACTTATTTCTCGGTCTTTCATTGGATTACGGTCTATTCCAATGAGGGTTTGTCTCGCAAGTAAGGTCAGTGTATCTTTAAGGGCTGAGAAGCACTGTAAGACCGTTTCATCCTTGTTGGGAATCAGCAGCAGTACAGATCTCACTAATCGCTATGGAATTGGAACCCGTGACATCGCGGCCGGTTGTTGAAGTCCATACAGTTTATCGGCGACTGGCTGACTGGTCTGTTTTAATTATACTTGGCTAAGATATGGCGCTACTCATCTTTCAATCTCGCAATTCAAATCACGTGGTCACGTGTTGACTGCCTCCTTGGGTGACGACTTCGCATGCAACTTATAGTTTGGTGGTAGCATGAGGAGATTTTGAAATTTCATTAGATTTCACCATGCAGGTGAAGTCAGTGTATGCTAGAAATCTGAAAAGCTCTGTACAGTCATCGTAGATTCGAATCTTTCTGGGTATGCGTGAGTTGCGCACTGCTGGTGAAGCAACTATGCGGTGCTTGTGGGCTTTTCAATACAGATTGATTTCTCCTGCAGGATAGTATCTACTTTGCAGTTTCAATGCCTGCTCATGTTATCATCAGGCTGCAGTCTGTTCCGCTAGATCAGACACCTCTCAGTAAAGCTCCTTGTCGTTAAAGTGGCCTCAACTAGATATTAGACTGAATCTATTGAATCTATTTGGAGGCAAATCCACCCGGCTATGTAAGGATGCTACGCCTACGCTATTGATTATCGAACGTGTTCACCCCAAGTGTTCTGAACTTAATCTACTGGTGCGGTAGTTCTGGTTACCCCAGTAGTTTATTATTCCGATTACTGTGTACACTGTTCACCCGATGGGCAGTCCTCAATCGATCGACAGTTGGGCTGTTGTTAGAGGCTCAAGTTAGCCCAAGTGTGAGCATGCTAGCCTGTTCAGACATGAAAATTAAGATGCATCCCGCATGCGCTTGTTAAGTAGTGGAAACACTTGCCTCACAGCTCAGATGTTCGGAGTTCAACCCGTGGCACCGCCAAAGGTGTGCACTGCTGATGAGATCTAATAAGAGCGAAAATCAAGTGCATTGCTTTCCCCTTTGGTATGGACTCACAATAATTTCGCCAGGACGACTGTTTAAGACCGAGGTTGATGTGATCACTAATCATCATTATACCAATGTAGTAACCCAGCATGTTCTAATGCCATCATTACGCACACTTGCGGACGCCCAGGTGACACCCGCGATCCCACCACATCCTGAAAACGCTACTGCCAGAGCTCCATCAACGTATGCTCGGCGGTCATTGCACTTTGTTTTATATTGCGACGAGGAAAGGTGGGCTTTGCGATCGTTTTATCAGGATTATTTTTTCAGGTGGTGGAAAAAGTTTGTGCTACCAGTTGCCGGCTGCTGTCCAAGATGGGTTGACTTTGGTGATTTCTCCCCTGAAAGCACTGGTTTTGGATCAAGTAACCAAGATGCAGTCTCTCGGGGTAAGTAACACTTATTTCGACCAAACTCACTTCATGTGCGCTTCTGTTAACGTGTAAACCGTTTTCTCTCCTGTCATAGCTATACGGACTGAGTCAGGTCATAGGGTTAGTGACGTTCACCTGCCCATGTGAAGGTGTTTCTGATTTCATCTTGTCCTTAGTATTAATCTTTGGGATAACTGCGAGTATCTGGACACAGTTGGAGAAGCGGTTTATGATGATTCGACAATCCAGATGTTCAGTGAAGTAAGGGAATCAAAAGTTGCTAAGACCCACCGAATCTCTGATATAAACTTTTCGGTTCGTCGGAAACGCTTGCTTAGTAATTCGGGATCGCAGAGACGTCCAACGATTGTCGATTTGTCGAAATTTGTGTAGCCCGGGCGTGTTTACTGTCGGTCGATCAGTTGGTATTTGATCGACCAACACGTTTAATCGTTCTTTGCCACGAACATTGCGTTTTTGCGGCGCGTGTACATAAATTCCCTAATGGAGAGGCGTGGAATGACTGAGGGTTTTCCTCTTTCTCTATCTCTCTCGAATTGAAAACCTCTAAGAAAAGAACACGGAATTTTTCGGTCCCAATTTTTATTGGCTTCAAATAGTTGGGAACTTTCCAAAATGAGTACACTTCCAGAATTGAAGTTATAAAATGCTTAGAGGAGACCATTCTGAAAATTTCCTGGGCATGCTTTTTCTGATGAAAACCAATGAATGACCAATCCAGTTGCCTTGTGCGGGGCAAAAATATAGAACAGTATATGCAGGTTCATGAAGCCTACAACCAACTTAATCACTCATGCTGCGATCTTTGACTGCTTCAGAAGTGCGTAGTCCTGTTTGACATACAGACAGTCCTAATGTCTCCGAATTCTGGCTGCTGTCGAGTGGTATTGCTGCACTCAGAAGTTCAGACGACTGTAGGAGAGTTGTCGTTTGTATGAAAGGTGCGCATCCGACAGACAGGCCGTTTGGACCAGACGTGAGGATAGCAAACTACTGAGAATCTAGTGGATGAAGAGACTATTCGCCGGAAAAGACAAACCTCAGCTTTCATGTGAGGGGACGAGATGGCCCAAGTGGTTAGAGCGCGAATTTACCGATCGGAAGGTCCGTGGTTCGAACCCGACCTCTGCCACTCGACTTCCCCTGTCTAGGCCTGGGCGACCTGGCAGTATCCCAGCCCTCGTGCTTCCTCCGGGTGACATGGCAGCTAGACACCGGAAGGGTGTTACAGCTGAACGATAGTGAAAAATGATTTCATGTGAGGCCCCAATGAGGACTTTTGTATGGTCATTAGTTGCGCGCGAACGTTACATGTTAATCACTGTCCGTCTTTGCTAAAATCATTGGTGCACTGAAAAAGTCACCTATGGGTAGTTTTTTAAATAGCGAAATGCATATGCAAGCGACACATGTAGACCCTTTGGCGAGGCCAGGTCATATCGGAACGAAATGAATTCCTGAATTATCCGCCCATTACAGACTAATGGGCATTTGTGTTGCTGTCAGGTAGTGATTTATATGCTTCATACTATTCATTCACATCTTGCTGGATGGATGAGCGAAAAGCAATGACACTGTGAGGAACTTAAATCCTGAGCATCTGGGCCAATGGAGGAGTGACGGAATGACTCACCGTACCCGAATACATGAAGGTCATCCGGATTCTGGATGACGTTGGGACTCCCAGTCACCTTTGTAAAGCCTCAGATTGGTTCTCAGTCTGACCCTTCAAAGCTAGCTTTTCTGCAAAGGCATCAAAGTTGCTCAAAGTGCCCGAAATCACGTCAAAAACACATACACAACGCGTCGTATTTAGAGTGCATGAGGTAACATTCCTGAACTTCGAACACCTAGACGCTCCATCGGCAACCGGCACTCGGTGGATGTTGGATCATGATTGGCTTTTGGGTTCACACTTCCGGCAAATCATAGCTCACTTTGATGCTTGACCGNTGATGCTTGACCGGTAAGCTGCCCTCTCTTCCGGCCAATCGCGTGTGCGTTAAAGCTTCTGGGCATGGTAGCGCTTAACTGCGAGCGGTGAGGCCTAACAATATGTTACGTCGCTGTTGTTCAGAATTTGTCGTGTGCGACCTTCTGCAGATAAACATTCAGTTATTATGATATTTTTCTCACGGGAGTGTGCCATCCATAAGGGTTTTTAGTTAAATCATGGATATCGTACTACCGCAGTACACACCTCCCAGGATAGTTCAATGGTGGCCGTTGTCGACAGGGCGGTTAAGTGGGAGAGACTGTCTCTTTTTTTCAGATTCCGCTGGTTAACTGTGTAGTTGGTTCCTTGTGTGTCCTTGTATCCATTCAGCGCTTTTTCTCGCTGTCGTCATAACGATGCTCCACCCTTGTTGAACGTGCCCAGATTGTTGCTGCACATTTGACGGGGGAAGCAACCATGACCGAATCCGATCGAGTGTATGCTTCGCTACACTTGGCCACGCTACGCACAAAACTGTTGTACGTCACCCCTGAAAAGGTGAGACCTATGATTATCATCTAATTGGTCATGAATTTGACAAATTATAGTTTTGTTTCCTTGCTGTTTGGAATTGAAGGTTGTGTTCCTCTACGGTCACAGTTGTTTCGGGTGTATCCTAGGTTGTCTTGCCGCGTTCTGTGCTGGTAACGACCACTTACGTATGTATTTTTCTGTAATACTTCCACTTATTTCCGTCGACGATAGAATCAGTCGCCTAGCGCATCATTTAGCCGCATGCTAGTTATGATTTTTGTAAGTCTGAATCCAACCATTTACCAACAGGGCCCATCCGCCCCTTAACTAGCACCGTTTCACCTACCGTCCAAAGCGTTTTCACTGAAAACCGATAAGACCATATATTTTTGTAGACTGTATTAAAACTGTTTTTTCTTCAATAATCTTAACGTTTAACTGGATTCTGTTTCCCAGTAATGGCAGAGCAGTCGTTCGCAAAACCTTTTGATGAACCGTCTGTTTGCGAAAGGATTTTTCCACATTCTACCGGATTGAAACAAACACCTAAGAATGACACAAACCAGTCAGTGTCACATAGAAGCCCGGAGAGAAGTTACCTGCTGAAAGCAAGGGTGTGTTCACGTTTAACTTCCATCCAGGGTTTATCCGTATTTGTTACGTACCCGCTAGCTTCCATTTTTTTTCGCTCATTTCATTGTCTACTTAAACTGCCATCTTTACTGTTTTTACAGATAGCCGCTTCGGATAAACTGAAGGGTTGTTTGGAGCAACTATACCGACGTAACTTACTACAGCGGTTCGTGATCGATGAGGCACACTGTGTGAGCCAGGTATGACATCATGACTCCGGGTTTTGATTCATGTTCTCGCCAAACTGTTTTGCCCTCCAATCGAAGAGTGGGATGCACTCTTTGTATTTCTTGTTGTGGGACTCGAGGGGTTACATAGCCTTTGGTTGTCTTGTTTTTACTTAACCAACCCTACTTAACCGAGCGCCGCTCCGAGAGTTTCGGTAGAACGGAACAAGGCTTGTTATCTTACTCCAGCGACGGGGGTTTAGAACACTGAGGCCACTGCAGGCGGTGGATGAGGGATTGGCTCGTGATTGGGGCATTAGTTGAGCGGAAATCGCACAACAGAATGTGAGGATATCTGTCGTCATCAAACGTGCGCAAACAGGTTAGGCTTTCTTGGTTTGCCCAGCTGAGTTCTGATTTACACAATTACGTGTTTTGTGAAGGCAAGCCACGATTATTCGGATATCACAGGCGCAAGATTTATTGGGTGGATTAGATTAAAAACAGTTTGTCTGAAGCAGTTGACACTCACTGGAGGCCTTCCTACCTCGGGTATATCGTAGGTGTATCCCAGGGGGCGAGATTGCCCAAGTGGTTAGAGCGCGAATCTACTGACCGGAAGGTCCGTGGTTTGAATCCGACCTCCGCCACTCGACTTCCCCTGTCTAGGCTTGGGCAACCTGGCAGTATCCCACCCCTCGTGCTTCCTTCAGGTGGCATGGCAGCTAGGCACCGAAAGGGTGCTACAGCTGAAGACTTTCTTTCTTTCTTTCCTACCTCGGATATGGCCCACACACCAACTCAACAGATCTCCAGGGCACATTTAAAGCTGTCTTATCTGAGACAAGCGTTGTCCCAACCGCTTGTGTGAAAATTCTTAGTATCCAGCGAAAACTAGGATCATTCTAATCAATCCATAGAGGCCATTAAACCAAGAAAGACTGAAGTTACTTGATTTTTGGTTTCGACGGCTCACAGTATAGTTTGACCTTTCGATTAGGGTTATGTTGGCTTTAAATTAATGAGTAACACAGATAGTAATTTTTTGGCAGGATAACAATTCCTTGACACACCCATGAATGCTCATTCTCGGCAAATTTTTTACGGTCCGGGAAAACACCAGCTTTATATCCGTCAGCCGTTTATCGTAGCGCACAGCAGAATTTACTATGTTTCCTGTGTCCCCATCTTTAACTTTCTTTAAACTTTTTTCATAGCTTTCTTTAGGTTTCAGTTGATTTTTCCTTGTGCAGCATAATTTTCCACCCTGACAGAGAGTCTAAATAAAGCCCCACAGGGAAGTGGCACCATTAACTTTTCCGCCGTTTCAGCACCCCCAGCATGACAAAACCGCTATTGTTTTTTACGCCGACTTGCTTGATATTCCTTTGATATTCCGTACACTCAGATTGTTGTTTTCCCTATGGGCCTTTTTAGTGGGGTCATGATTTTCGACCGGACTACCGTAATCTCAGCATCCTTCGTACCAATTTCCCGAAAGTACCAATGATGGCCATGACAGCTACCGCCACTCCCAGAGTACGGGAAGACATATTACATCAACTCAAAATGAAAAACACCAAATGGTAAGTCGCTCACTGCAAAGCGTACGTTATTCTATCAACAGCCATACTGGGAAGGAACTGCATCAGTTGGGACTGAAGTACCTGTGCTACACAGTTTGTGACCGACAAATTCAACTTAGGCTACAGCAGTTTGTGGAACAGTAGCACTTGGGTAGTTTAGAATGCCACGTTTATCCTCTTACGGACGTTCTTATGAGTTCAGTTATTTATCGGCACGTACTGTGTTCTAATTAAGAGACAATGCCTGACAAGTGTGTCGAGTGATGTTTTAAAAAAAGCCTTCGTTTTTCAAATTGATGCCGCAGTGCACTTCCAACGAATTCAGATTCCGCACGACTCGTGTTCTCCTGATTGATAGATTCGTTCGTTAGTTCTCATTTTGTACTGTTTCCGAACGGTTACTTGTCGGACTGCTAGGCGGAAGGTGATCGGTTGGAAACTGCCTGTGTTCTCGTTAGATACGTACTGTTCATCATTCGTAGTAGGGATGAAATAGCCGCTTCTCTGCATTTCAACGTAGACTGGCTTCATTTACAGGAAGTAGTCTCCATTAGAAATCAGCAATCCTTCTCGCGCTACGCGCAAATCCTAAATAGTTTAGAAGGAAGAAAAATCCAAAACATGAATTAACTCCATTGGGTGGTACTTGATTAGTTGTCTGGCCTCGAGTTGTTTCAACGATCCGGGAAACCGCGTACATTGACCTCAACAAGTAATCGCTTGGACAGTGTCTTCCCTAAGCTAGGTTCATACATGGGGAACTCAACGTTGTATTGTGGAATGATCGAGTGCGATCGAGATTGTTTACTTTGTGGGACCTGTTGTCATCGGTTGGGCTAAAGCTGACAGCATAAACTGACGTATGGTAATTCGGAATTTCTACAACTCTCTATAAGTACATTTTTTGTGCCATGGGGTCACACCTTCACAGAGTTATTTCCGTTTTTGGCTAGTTATTAGAAAATTGCCGACAACCCACTGGCTCTGAGAACAGCATGCTTGCAGTTCACCCTATGCCCCAGTTTCATACATTCCCTGAATTTTCGGGACGTCTCCGCTCCATTCCGTCTGCCATTAGGAATATCCTCAACCCCGAAAGTTTCGTCAACTGTCTGCAGAAATTTTGGGAACCCTTCCTCATTTGTTGCTCTATCTGAAAGATATGCTCCCACCAGGGGGAAGCCTTTGTGCCCCTTGCAGATGCTTCCTTGTGGAAGCATTTTTATTCGCAAACAAAATGGGACCGATTAAACTTAAATAAATCTCACAGAGAAACCTCTGGGATGCGAACGGAATACAATTCGACCGTGACTCATCTAGTAAATATATATCTGTTTTCAAATTGCACAGTGAAACTACTTGTGCTGAACCTGGTAACCATGCGCCACATTCGGAACCAATGTTCACTTTTCAGCGCTCCTGGTGGATGGCTACTCTTTATGAAACAGTGGTTCTTAACTGCGGTTTTAGCGAACCAAACCTTCAGATGTCCTTTCCAATCCACAACCCCATTAGATATCTATGACCGGTTCTGCTATCCTCATGAAGCTCCTTTGTAACCGAGTGCTACCTATCCTGGAGTTCCTACCCAATCCGCTGAATAAATTCATGAGGATATACCACTGATGTATCAGTTCTTGGATGGCCTCTGCATTTTGTTCTAACCAACAGAAGCACTTTTCCCATCGTTTTCGTCTTACTTTGCTCAGATACTTATTTCGCACTGTGTAAATGGCCTTTCGATTCGGCATTCGACGGATCGGTGGCCATCGAGGATAACCTTTTCCTACCTCCTTTCGAACCACTTTCCAGTTCAGCAATTTCACAACCCCAGACCTTTGGAGTTCCGAAGCGTTATCAATAGATTATTATATTATGGTCGCCGAACGTCATTTCTGGAATAGCCTTCCGTTTCTTTTACAGGTTCATTCAAAGCTTCAATCGGACAAACCTCAAGTTCGAAGTTCGGCCGAAAAAGGTCAAGAGTTGCACGAAGGAGATCATTGAAGTCATCCATTCGGAATTCCCTAGACGATCGGGCATAGTTTACTGCCTCTCCCGCCGTGAATGTGACTTGGTAGCTGAAGAATTGAGTCGTGCTGGTCTTGCCGCTTCTGCATATCATGCGGGTATGACTGACGCTCAGCGACGTCGTATCCAAGAAGCATGGATCCAAGAAGATAAATGCAAGGTGGGTGAGATGGGATTATGAGGCAAGGACCGAAACGTTACGCTGACGTTCCACGATACCATCAAGTTTGATAACATGTCACCACATTAAGCTTTCTGCGAGAGTTTTTTAGAACTGATGTAGGAGAGACGGGGATTTGGAAAGCCTTAAATTTGATTCAAGCACACAATGCAAACTAAAAGGCAGAGTCCTTGAGCGAGACCACATCTTGCAACCTCCCACTTACCAGTGGAGCTACTGCGAGTGCTGCTCCACGTTGCACACGTGCAACTGAGTTCGCATTGGTGCGATATGTTCTTGCGTGTCTATAATTCAGAGTTCGTATTTTCTAAAAATCGACACTTACTCCATGTCCACTTCCGATAGGCAGTATCTCAGCTCTCCGAAAAGTCGTTACAGTCGAACGGTTATCATTAATTATTGAAGAAAGTCGCACTTTTCAAAACGATCTTATGGGATGTTGATAGGGATGGCGTCCCAAGTCCTTTTGTTTAAAAAGCTATGTGCAGTTGGTAGAATGGGGTGTTTCTCAACCATAGTCATCGGTGTCAGTTTCAGGGACTGAATGATTCCTGCCAATAGCATTTGAACCATAGAAGCCTCATTCCAGAGTGTCCTCTCATACTAAATCAGTAATGCAAGTAAATTAGGAACCGATCCATTTCGCCTTTCTCCTGGAAGCACGAATGGGGAACCTCGTTGGACAGGCGGCTCTGTGTTCACTTCATTTTCTCAAACCAGTCGCGCTGAATCGTGTTTGAAGTAACTGCGAACCATGTCTCCCAATCCGCTGTAAACTTTTGATAAAATGTATACCAATGTAGCAGTATATATATCGCTCGGTGAAACGAAGCTTCTCAGTTTTATTAAGCTTCTTAGGTTCGTGCCTGCCAACTGAAAAATATTGGAAAGTTTTCTAAATTTTCAGAGTAACGGAGTTAACTATCATCATCTATTGAGATTTTAGCCATAGGTAGTCGGTACTGATCGTAAAAGTTGGTTTCATTGATATAATTGGATAGATGGATTTAAGATTTGAGATCATGGTGTCACTATGGCAACAATGGATAACTTACTTTTCCGACAGCTGATGTGCTAAAGCACATGATGACCTTTCGGTTACCTTCATCGAGGTCTGAACAACTTAACAGTTTCTCAGACTTCGCGCTTCACCCCGGTCGAATGGCACTAACATAACCGTTCCGCCTAACCTCATAACTGGTGTATCATGAGTACTTCCAACTGGTTTACTTCTACTATTGGAATTTTTCGAGTGAAACATCTCAGCGATTCTTCCTTAAAAATCAGGCTTGTCTATTTCCCAGTTGTGGCGAACCCGTTTTCTCCTTTCATATGTTTCTTGTACCTTGCAGTTGAATTATCCTCAGAATCTCACATTATATAGTCACTAGTGTGTGACCAGTTTTCACAATTACTATCAAAATAGTACCGTAACCTCAGGCTGGTGTCAGCTGGGAAACTTGCTGTTTTCCATAGATTTTCTAAATCATTTCTATAACCCCCTTTTGTTCCTTTCATTTATTCTTATGCCCCGCTTGAAATCATCCGTTGCCAGATTGTGTGTGCAACCATCGCCTTTGGGATGGGAATTGATAAACCGGACGTGCGTTTTGTGATTCATCACTCTCTACCTAAATCCATCGAAGGATATTACCAAGAAGCTGGTCGTTCTGGTCGCGATGGCCTTCCTGCTACTTGTATCCTCTACTACCACTGGCATGATGTGGTTCGTCTGCGGAAGCTTATTCAAGGTAAGTGAATGATGTGTGAAAGGTAACTAAATCGGGACTTCGGACTCTGTGCTTTTAACCATCTCGCTAATATTTCCCATTATTGAATTCGAAAATACAATAAAACTGTTCTACAGTGGTCGCTGATAAAATAGTTGTAAATGATTTCTCTGGAAATTGGACGGCGCCGTAAACCGGTACCTGTCCATGAATTTGAAAGCATTCTAACGTGTAACATACGTTCATTTCTCATGTTAGTGTCATTGGTAACGTTGGGGCTGAGTTGGGTCACTACGGGAAATACCGTAAGATACGTAACAGGAATCTGAGGTAGCGAGCCCAAAGAGGAACTCGGGAAGTGTGGTCGCTGTTGGACATTTTAATTGTATAACCTGTCATTCGTTTTGTTTTGGGTAAGGTGCCATCCCGAATGTGAATGCACCAGCACAACAGCATTTTGCTCGAAACCTATTTTAAATATCTACATTTCTCCTATCGCTACCACGCTCCTTTGTATCATATACATGATCGTCAAACCAATTCCAGCTTATAGGATCGGACAGACCTGACATTCTTTGTCGGACAGGCATTTCCGGAGCAGTTGCTAGTCATCCATTGTTGCCTGCTTAGTAGCCTTGGACTAGACTCGGTAGAATACAATAGGTAGAAGAACTGTTCACCCTTCCTCATTCCACCGGTAGGGCGTTGATTTGGCACTCACTTCTGTTAGGTGTGTGGTTGGTAGTTCGGCGTAGTTTCATCGTCGTGGACACAGTTCCTGCTATCCTGAAGAACCTGCGCATTTTTGTGGCTAATTCACTGTGATGAGTTCTGAGTGATTCGTACCACACAAGCCGTGAATAATTTCGAGTCTGATCACGGTGTTAGTGAAGTTGTGTGATGCACTTCCTGGCTGCTGATTTTAAATCCTCGGATTCGTGATGTTGACAAGGCTTGAGAACGCCCATTGAAGATTAACTTGGCTAAATTTCACATGGTTTGCAAAGAGAACGCTATTAACATCGGTTTGCAGCCATAGCTTCCAACGTTCCCAATCATATACAGCGGGGAGCACGGTAATCCCGTTCTCGAAAACGAGTCACACCGACAGTGCCCAGACTTTTCGTAATCACTTTCGTATCCTTCTGCCAAGTCAAAGGTTGGCCACTTCTCTGTTTGTATCATTTTAGCGCTCTTTTCCGCGAACGCAGATCCGATGTGCACAGTGCATGATCAAACCACCACAGCTTTTGGTACTAGACATATTCTTCGATTGAGACCCCTGTTACACAAACTAACACTCGTTTTCTAATTGTCTCTTATGGATTCGCCGTCACCAGCTATCAGGCAGCGCATGTCGAAGTCCTGAAGACGCCTCAGCTGGGCTGCTCGCAGATACCGCGTCTTGCAGCCGTACAACATAACAGCCCGTGCTGTAGCTTGCTACGCACGTCCCTTGAGATTCAGAAGTGTGCTGGTTTGCTGCCATAAGAGTCCTAAATTATCAAACGATCCTTAGAGATTATTGCATTAACCTGATGTGTCGTACCACGGTCGGAGCTTATATAAATCCCAAACTATCACAATTCCAACAATGTCCATCACATGAACCTAAAGGGAGATTTGGATCTGTACCCTTCTGGTTGAATTCAGTACCACGGTTTAGCAAACACTAGCTGACCAGCGATGTGATCAACTCGCGCTTAGGCCGCATAAAGCGCTACTCATCTTTTGATCACACAACCCATATCAATCAATCACGTTTTGACGATTTTCCAGTTGGAGGGTCATACATCCTATGGGATTATTATCTTTCCTGAGCAGGTTACTGTAACTTCGCTTCATGGTTTCGTTTTATCATTTTACCCTTCCAATAGATGCATCAATGTTAATGTGTCATCCATCTTTTTGTTAGGAGTTCAGAGACCATATGTATCGCTTTGTTGATTCCATCTTTCCCAACTCCACTGGTCATCAACATTTGACTGAATTATCCTGAATACGTACTACCCTATTTAACCTTTATATTAATGAAACTGGTGTCCTTAGACAACTTTCGATAATTTGAATGTTAAGCGAGGGCATATCCGTCTGCAACCATCAACACTGGTTATTCGTGATATTTGGCGTTATATATACGAGCCATTGGAGTTTTTCCTGGCATGTTATACTCAGCTGATAGGCAAACAACGAGTGGCCATACAACTCACTTACAGCTTCAATTTGACTGATAAATAATCAATTATACCTACAAGTTTATTTGGCTGTATTTTGAAGCACTCTGCTACGTACCCTAAACCTTGTCTTATTGTTTCCTACTACCTTCCACCCAAAGGTGATACTCCTGGATCCAATACATTCGCCAACATCCAGCTACACGAGGAAGCCTTATTTCGAATGGTTTCTTACTGTGAGAACCAGATTGATTGTCGTCGTCGCCAAATTTTATCCCATTTCGGCGAGGCTTTTGATGCGGCTGACTGCGGTTTGGTGGTGGGTTGCATGTGTGACAACTGCCAGCAGGCTGATCGACGACGTCTGGAGCAACGAGATGTAACAGAAGACGCTGTCTTGATCGTGCGAGCTGTAGACGGCTTTGTTCGATCGCGCCGTAATGTCACCATCAACTACTGTGTGGATGTCTTTCGCGGTAATTTTACTTGGCATGCTGTTTCGTTCAGGTTACTGTACCGATTTTATTTTTTAGTTCTTCTGTTGATGACGAACATCTCAACTATTAATGCTTAGATGCTCGGTCAGTGCTCCGATTCGATGGTGGAAAACGAACCCAACACGTTGTGCTGTGTTAGGGTGTCTGATGAATTGCAAAAAAGATGTTCCAATGACTTGGCAACAATCTTTTTCTATATCTATTCTTCAGGTCTTGTGATCCAGTTACGATCACAATTTCTGCAGATGTTCAGTACCTGTCATTCTTCTGACTTATTATACCTTGTATACGGTTAACACTGGTAATCCTGTTTATGAGAATCAGTCAACACCGAGTGCTTTGAGCTTCAACTTGTCAAACTCTTTTGAATAACAATTTGTCTTCTATCTCTTCGGCTGTCGTGCCCCATGTGTGTATCGTCGTGTCAAATGTGGCTTTTCTCCACCACTTACGTGAAGGCTGATTTACCTTATTGATGTCTCTAGGTCTGTGTCCTTTTGTCTTTCTTTTTTGTATATTCTGTCTATTTTGTTCGTTCTGTGTCTAGGGGCACAAACCAGCCAGATCCAACGTGCTCAGGACAACCTTAATCCCTTGTACAACCGAGGAGCTTCATATTCCAAGACAGATGCAGAACGACTTTTCCATCGTTTGGTAGCCGAAAGCGTCCTGTACGAGGAGTTGACTGTGACTCATCAAGACCACGTAGTTGCATACGTCCGCCCTGGCTCGAAAGCTGTACGACTACTGGAAGGTTCCCTGAAGGTGAATAACGATTATTGTGACCATTGTTTTTCTTGCATAGGAATTAGACGTGTGTCCTTTATGTGACATAATGTGAAGAGTCCCCATTCTCTACTCCTCATGGTCACACTCCCTAGTTTACCGTCTCTATGCTTAGCTTGAAGTCACAAGATTTTCTTTTAGATCACGTTTTATGCGGCAAACCGTGATTCATTGAGACCATTCCGTCACATACATTCGGAGGCTATATTACGGCAGCGAAGCATCCGTGTTGAACACTGATGATGATTGTGGATACCCGCAGTTAAACACCTGAGAGAAACACATGTCATTAGTTGATGCCTATATCCACATCAAATTTTATAATCGCCGCATCATACTGTTGTTGTACTATGGGACCATGGCCCGCGTTGAACGATGATGAACTCGTCGGTGCGCGCACTGATGATGCCTCCTCATATGGTGACGAAACGTTTGCAAGCAAGTTTCCGACTGCCACCTGACCAACAGTCAATAAGCTCACCCGAGCTACCGGTGGAAGGAAGAAGGCCTTCGCTGCGGAGTTATTTATTCGGAAATGCCAACTGACCGGTTACAGACCATTGAACAACGAAGCAATCGATGCAAAGCGAAATTCTACGAACAATACATACTACTCGCGTGCCTCCCGATCATCGTTACACCGGTATTTAGACGTGTTGCCGAACTCCAGACCTCATGTGGTGTTGGCATGCGTGTTATGTATAGTGCATCATCATAGATAGCAGCAGCAGTGCTTGTTTCGTACAAATCTCTCAAGATGTTGATTGAAAATATCTCAGAAATATAAGGGCGTGATGTTTATTTGGAATAAATACCAACATCATCTTTGAAGTACATCTGGCGACGTCTCTATCCATGATGAGGGAAGATCACGCGGCGCAACAGCATCCAATCACGTGATGTCCCTCACTTGGTCAAATTAATTCAGAGAAGACACATGTTAATCTCCTCGGTAGATTTGGATCACATGACCGAGGTGTCGTAGATGGTAGGTTTGCTATCACTGCGGAATTGAAAGCTATTTGTGAGTCTATCCTCCCCCTCTCGCGAATTCGTGGATAGACCCCGTCTGCTGCTGTGATTTTAGAATACCTTTTTTGAAAGTCTCTTCGGTTCATTCAACCTTAGTCTTTTGGATCCGCTTATATATCGTCTTAGTCACAAGTGACCGGCAAAAAGCATTCTGGCCTTAAACTCTGGTCAAGCTACTCAGTTGGCACGTTGCAGACAGAAGTACTAACTTTGTTGACTTGAGGCGATGTGTGGTATACGTTACCTTCACTGAAGCCGTAAGAAGGATAGGCAGAGACTGAATACTGGAGCATGAATTTAATGTTTTAGGTCCAGGGCATACTCAAGGGCGTGATTACGTTCGTTAGCCGGGCAAAGAATGCGTGCTTTTCTCCTTTCGAAAGACAGGCCCATTGTTGTTAGCATTCAGCGCCACTTGTTCGGATGTGGTGGAACTGTTTTTGAGCTTGCCTCCTCCCCAAACTCCAAGAGAAGTAGATTCCAAGCTGGGGCTCCCCCTGAACGAGTGTTTGTGGTTTGTATCTTGGCCGTCAGACGGCTTCTCGTGCAGTTACTTTGTTGTTAACAGGCACAATGTTCTTTTTATATTTACTGCCGTTTCTGACTTCTTGACCATTAGAAATCACAATAGTTTGCCCAGCAGATTTCTCCTACCCAGATTCTTGATCTCTCTAAAGGCGTTGTACGGTACCTTTCGGGGATAACTGAATTTTGCCTGAATTCACCCTAGAGCTGACATTGGTATCACAAACCTATCGATCTTCAGTCCTGTATATGCGTGGTGATTACTCACGCTTGATTCGATTGCCTGTGCCAAGAAATTGTTGGATTGTTCTTTGTCGTTCTTCCTTATCAAGCGCCCGCCGTCGACAGATGGATACCGCCAACCGAGGGATCCATTTATTAATTACCTAGTGTCACAGGATAACATATAGAAACTTTCAAGTCAGTGAATGAACTAAGAAGGCTTGGACGACTTGGCGATACCCCAGCCCTCGTGTTTCTATCGGGTTGCAAGGTGGCTAGGCACTGTGGTATAGCTGGTGTTAGAAGGGCAACGTTAAGAGTAGCTGTCTCGATCAGTCCGTTCAAACATTCGCCACCTTGGTTCTTTGCGCCCCACTCGTCATCATCGCCATATCCTGTAAGAACCGTTTACTTGCCGTACAGTGGTTTTGCCTACCACCACTTCGTTCACCAATAGTTTTGGGAGATGGGATAGTTAGCTCAGCATTGAAGGCGTTAGGTTGTATAATTGATGCTTGAGTTATAAAGGGTCATCCATGGGTTTATAATTGGGAATTTTGCAGCGTAGCTATGCATTGAAAGCGGTAGCTTGGATCCACCAGCACCACTGAGGACGCGACTGTCTGCAAATTTCCATAACTATTGATACGTCCAATCTCGTTATCCCCATCCAGGGAGACATCAATACTCAGCGCAACTGAGTTTCCTGCTAATAGTTTTCATCCTTTGAGGCCAAGTGATTGGTTAACCTCTCCTAGTTGGTCTTCATCGTTCACGTGAATGCACGCAAAGAGCCCTTCGAGGAAGTAGGTTGACAGTCATTTTCATTTTTCAACCAGGCCAGTGCAACCTGTGAATCGCGATCAGTACATTCATCATGGGTGAGCATAGATGCTTACAGTACAGTTGTGGTGTTGCCCGTAATCTGTCGGATCTTCTCGGATTGAAAAATTCAGGTTCTTCGCGGGTATTATGTTCTTCAGATAAAAAAATTTGTTCGGATACCATAAGATCATCTACAAAGGACTCATTAGTACTTGAAACAGCAGGACTGCCGTTAACAGACTGACCTCTGGTATTGAACCCAACCTGATCAATGTCTCCGATGACAAGAGAGATCATCCAAATCGAGAATTGTGACCATCCGTTTGTCATTTGATGAAAGTATTATTCCTGTAGCAGGTCGTAAATCATTACCCTTGAAAAACGTAACATTAGCAGTTTTGGCACAGTCAAGACTCGTACGCAATGAGCCAGGTTTAAATAGAAACGCGGGACTCGTCCCAGTAACAGAATGAACGACATTCCTGTATTGCATTAGAAAATTGTAAATCCCACGGTCCAATTCCACAAAAGTAGTAGGAGAGAGTGAAATAATGGCAGACTATAGTGTTCGGACAAAATTCCCATTCGACTGGGAATGTCGTGGAGCAGTAAACAGATGTCGACATCCAAGGCCCTTTAACCATTCCTCGAGGAATTTTGCAGTGAAGTGTGTGCCGTTAGTGACCAAAACAGTTGGTACACCTCCATGGCTGAATACTTTCCTCAATGCTTGCTGTGTGAATTCGGCACTTGGAGACGTAGTTAGAAAAACTTCAGGCCAACGTGAATATGCGTCAATAACAATTAAAGCATAGTATTTACCGAGAAGAGGACCGCAGTAGTCGGTATGAACTCGTTGAAATGTTTCAAATGTAACTGGCCACGGATACCACTGTGAAGACTTGTTGTGAATCTTATGTGCACAGTTAACACAATTCTTAGCAGTACACTTGATGTCAGCACCCAGTTCCGGCCACCAGCATGACAAGCGTGCAAGAGATTTCACTTTGTCAACACCCAGATGACCAGAATGTAAATCTGCCAGAACAGCCGCTCGCTGAGTCGGTGGAATGATAATTCTATCCTCAAAGCACAACAAACCATCCGGAGTAATGGACAAACTTTTGCGGCGACACTGAAAAGCAGGAAATCGGCGTCGCTCTTGTTGCGTCCAGCCACGTCGCAGTGCAGAAAAAATGGGAGCAAATACCTTTTAGTATTGGTAACAAGCGCATCCCGTTTGACTGATAGTGGTTAAATCAATAAACAATCTCAATTGTTCGAATCAGAGTTGCATGATGAGATTCTTGCATGAGGAATCATTTTTGCACTATGATGAACAGTCGTGTAGGTGTACGAACTCAGTGCAATAATCCACCGTTTCACCATAGCGGCAGATGACTTCGCCAGAGATTTGGCTTGATGATTCAATAACTTTAAAGCCTCGTGATCAGTAGCAATGGTAAAGTTTGATCCAAAAAGATACTTATGGAGCCGTTTGACAGCCCAATATACCGCAAGTGCTTCTCATTGAGTCTGAGAGTATCCACGTTCGGCTTTTGAAAGTCGACGGGAAATGCAGATCACCGGTCTGCCACACTGTTCAAGGATTGCTTCTATTCCAGTGGGAGAGGCATTAGTAATGATGGTGGAGTGATGTTTGGCGGAAAATGGTTTCAAAACAGCTGAAGTTTGAAGATGACGAAGCAGTGCACACAACGTCTTTTCATGGTTGGAGGACCAAGAAAATTGACTGGCAGGTATGACATCAAACAGGCAACTTGCATGTTTAGCAAAATTAGGAATAAAACGAGAGTAATACTTAAGTGTTCCTAGAACTGAACGCAGTTCTTGTAGATTAGTTGGTGATGGCGCATTAACTAAGGAAGATAGACGGTTTGTATCGGGTTTAAAAGCGCTGCCATCCACGATGTAGACAAGGCATGAAAATGATGGGACACCGAAAGTGCATTTTTCAGGATGAATAGCTACATTGAACTCAGAAAATCTCTTCGGTAAAGACAACAGACGCATATCATGGGTAGCTTTGTCAGCAGCGTGCACAATGACGTCATCTTGGTACGTCTCAACACCCTCCAAATCTTTTGCAATAGTATTCATAACTTGCTGAAATACAGCTGGTGAAACGTTCAGACCAAAGGGAAGAAAATTGTATCGGAATAACCCAAAGGGTGTGTTGATCACGGTAAGGTTACTGGAGGCTTCGTCCAGTGGTATTTGAAGATAAGCATCTTTTAAATCGATTTTTGAAAACACACTTGAACCTGATAAACGATACAATACATCTTCTGGCTCTTCCGTGGTGCATGTACGTTGTAGTAGCCGCGTATTTAGCGTAAGCCGGTAGTCACCACAAATTCTCGGAGTAATACCATCAGCCTTTAGTGGGGTAACTATCGCAGTTGCCCAATTCGATAACTCGACAGGGGTCAGTATTCCTTTCGCACACATTGAATTTGATGCTTGGCGAAAGATGCAGCCGAAAGAGTCTCTTACAGGGGATCTTATATTTCCTAAGAGACGAATTATTCCTTTTGGCTTACGGGAACCTGTTCGCCAAGCATCAACATTATCGTTGAACTTTAAAGATTCACGTGCTCAGTCAATGTGTGGTGAATGTGATGAACATGGTTGCATTTCTTTTGACAGCTTTCGTTATTATTCTCTTGTGTTGCTAAGCCAGATGCTTCATATAGTTGTAAATTGGAATACACACGTACTTGCATTTGCGCTGTGGTGTATTCTGGTTTTTCAGTTCGTTTGTTTATCCTGATTCAGGCGCTGGTTTTTTATTACGACATTTTGGCCTCTTGGGCAGGCCCCGACTCCCGTCTGCGTGATTAGTATCTGCGACCAGGCTTTCCAGGAGTAGTTCGACCCCATAGGTATTGTAGGCTGACAGTGAGTCTTCCATAATTGGATTATTGGCGAATTTTAGAAAGAAACCAGAAAGATGGGAGGTTTGTCCGACCCCCTTTTTGGTGGGGTGAATTCACATCAGAGCTTTCTATAGGCCACACGTCTGCGCGAATTAGCGTATAGCACATTCAGGAGGGTCATGAATTTATGGGGACGCCTGTGCTCCACAGACACTGCCATAGAGCCTAATGGTCCACAGAGTCAAGAGCAGCTTCCAAATCAAGTACGACAACCGTTGTTGCTAGCTGGGAACACTGTCGCTGTTTCAAAATATGTGGGAGGGTGAACATATTATCGAAAGAAACCTAGCTTGGTTTTCGCGGATCTGCCTTTCCCTGTTTTCTGTCAACCTGCGAAGGATAAAACCGGAAAACACCTTCGGTGCCAGATATTACGTTGATGTCATAGGTTTTCTCACAGCGTCCGCGTACCCTTTTTGAAAACTGGTAAAACTGTCGACGTGTCCCGCTCGCTCCATTTTGCATCAACAAGCCTCACTCGTCACCACTGTGTTGTTCCCAGTTACCAAGAGGTTAGGTTTGGTTGCGTGAATGTGGCTGGTAGCTTAGGGTGGCAGTTTGATTCATACGATTTCATGATTGATAAGTGCTGCAGATCGATTATCGTCGGTATGGGCGAGTGTTGAGATGGTCAGAATGAATGCTGGTTATCTCCCTATCTATTTAATCTAAACCCGTGGTGACCGGTTGTACCAATCTTGGTTCGGAATATATACTGTTTTTGCTTGGAAGTGAGCCAGCCATGGTCACTATTATCTACCGACTTTATGGAATTCTCACAGAGTCGAATGAACATTCTTTTTTGGCGGAGCATAAATTGTGTGTGCTGCTGAACAATGCAAATTTTCTACTTGGCAGATACATCTACCTATCAGTATGCCAAGCCGGCCGGGAGCAGCGGAAGCAAAAATGATTGGCCGCGAGCCAGAAGATCGCTACGCAAAGATCCGCAATGAATGTTACGAGGAGTTGGTACAAGTCGCAAAACAACTGAGTACGTCTCAGTTTTCATTGTTGTTCAGCTTGACGCAGCAGTCGCATTCTTTACTTTCTCACACTCATCGGTCTATTATTATTATTATTATTCCTGCCTTGTATTTTCACTCGTGGTATTTATCCCCTTTTCCGCTAGCCTCGGAGCAAGGCATTTCAAACTACGCAACCGTATTTCCCAACGAGATGTTACTCGAAATGGCTGCGCATTTGCCGACTACGAGAGAAGAATTGCTACAGGTTCCTCAGTGTACCGAATACAAGCTGAACCGATTCAATGCACAAGATCGGTTTTTGGAAATCACATTGAATTATTTGTCCATTCTGGGGGGTAAGTTTATGCTGCTTGGAGGTCTCATCTAACTTTCTTGGGGAACGGAATCTAATCAGCCAATTGCCTCGTAGATACTGTTTCGCTTTTAGCACGAAGTCAAGCAAACTGGTTGAAGAGGTTGATCGAAGTGCAGTCACTACACCTACCTGATGAGCTACAAACTGAGCAAAAACCAGTAGTGAGCTGCCTACGGATTTGGACGAATTTCGCCATCCTATTTAGAGCGAACAAGACTTTAGTATCTTGCATATCAGCTCAGCTGAACTGCCTGATAGCCTCAGTTGTGAAAACAAGATCGGATCTTGTTGATATATCCTGTTCACTTTAATTTGACATTCAAATGAGTTGCGTTCGTAGTGAATATACAACTCTATTTCAATGAAGTTGTGAAAGTTGACTGAAATTCTGACTACATGTACCTAATAAGCCATAGACAAAGGACAATCGATTGTTTGTATACTTCGATTAGTCTCAGCATTTTATTCATAGGAAGCCTATATGGTTGGTCGTGAAGCAGTCAGTTGGTTGTGAAGCAGTCATTGAAGTCTCTTGCTCCCTGACTGAGCCAAAGTTCGAAAACTGGGCGTCGGCTATAAACTTTTTTGGTCATCATCATCAGTCACAAACTATGCATATTACACGATGGTTCCAGCTTCCACAGACAACTGGGCAACTCCTGTCCCTCTCGCAATCCCCATTCAAGGAGACAGCAATGAGCTAACTGGTAACTACTTTCATATTTCACTACCAAACGATTCCTTAAATCTGCCCGGCTCGGTTCCACCTTTCTCACGGTTGAGTGAAGGGGTTTGTCGGGGGAGTCGATAGACTGGCGTACGAAGTAGGTGAGCAAGCCGGCACAGCCCACTGAGTGTCATCAGCCCTCCTATTGTGTTGAAGATTTTTCTTCCGAAAACTTCTAGATGCTTCAGCGTCACGACCTGATATTTCCTACGAGGCTTGGACAGTTCTGCGAAGACAGCGATGATCACTGCGTTTTCAGACAGGTCGATGCCACTTCTCCACCTCAGGTGTTTCAGTTTGGCAACGGCTACTACTCTGGTTTCTTCTATCTGGGTGGCAGTAGGATTATTCGGGTCGTTTATTGTTTGCGTTTCGATGGGGTCAGCGCGTGGAAGATCTCTGTTTTCTTTGTACTCAGTATCTGGAAACTAAAGCCTTGGGAGCATTTTGATTCCATAGGTGTCAGAGTTTGAGATCGACGACAAAGTTCAAGGGGAAAGGGGGCAAAGGGCATCGTCGCTCTTGGATGGGTGTCGCCAGTGGATGTGGTGAGCCCAGGTGAGGGTTTACCACAGACCTTCAGTCGTCCACGGGAGTTGCGGTACAGCGCTCCAAGAAGGATAAGAAATTTATTGGGAACACCTTTACACCACAGAAAGTGCCATAGGGTCCGTTCTTCAACAGAGTCAAAGTAGGTCCTAAAGGAACATGGCTACTTGGTTGCTGGAGATGGTGTCGCTGTTCCAGGATGTGTCTGAGAATAAGTCGTCTATATAGCCTCCTGCAAGACGGAAATTGGCCTTCGTTGGTTTTCACCTTACAGGTCGTATTCCGGTACTTTTTGCAACCTGCGTAACCCTTCGTTTCCAACTGTACTCAACACTCTTATCAATTCCTGTGATTTTCTTCTACCGACAGTCTTACAATATTTTCTACAAAGAATTCATAATGCTAAAAGCTCATCTGAAGGAAACCGTCCTGTGTGAGGATTCAAATCTGGAAAAAATTGTAACTGTGACCAGTGAGCTCTTCACAGCTTAGCTAACATTTCTTTCTACCTATCATGTAGTATATTCATCGCCTGGGCACTCCAACCAACTATTTATGTTGCGTTTCTGGTTATAATGTGCCCGTTTACCCTTGGTTCCTTTGTTGCAGCCCTTAAATCGGAAGAGCAACAACAGGAAGCACAGTTGACATCAGCTGCCCCTGATTTCGCCACTTTTCCATCACGATCACAGTGGAACTCGACCAAACCCCGAGGGCGATCCAAAAAGGCATCCTCACATTATTTTAAACGCGTATGTTCCCAGTATAATGCCATTCGCTTGAAATCTGCGGGTTAATTCTTCGGGGTACTAATTCTGAGGAATCTCCATGCACAGGTGCAGTTTTCAACCATGCGTTTTGTAACGCGGATCATGACATTATTCAAATTCTGAAAATCGGATTCACTAGAGTTGGCCTATTTTCGCCTTCCGCTTGGTGGTTCTCGATTTCGTAACGGACATGTCGATGTCATGGTGTTTTAATGTGTGCAAAATGGCCATAGCACGCGTGCCGGCACTTTTGTTTCAAAGGTGTTTAGTGCATATTTTTTCAGTTGGCCTCCAACAAAATGCAACCCTGTAAATCTTACTGAAGCGAGTCGAAAAAATTAGACAAATAAAGCTCCACCATAGCTGTCAAAGTTATGGTTAAGCTCGGTTTAGCCCAGTGGTTAAGGCTCCCGCTTACGGACTGGAAGGTCCTTGGTTCGAACCCGACCTCAGCATCTTGACTACTCCTGTCTAGGTTCGGGGAACCTAGCAATATCCCAGCCCTCTTGTCTTCTTTCGTTGGCGTGGCAGCTAGGCACCGAAAGGGTGCTACAGCTGAACAATTTTCGATTTGATTGACTTATCTAAGGAAGTGACATCCGGACGTAGCGCTTTAGGCAACCGGGAACACTGAGCAACCAAGTGTTCTTTGTCGACGTGTGCACAGATCAACTTCATATCCATAGATGTGCTTTCAATCACTTTCGGTCGACAACAGCGCGGTTAACTAAGTGCTTCACAGTGTCCCAAACCCAGCTTAGGGAATGTTTTTTTCGGCAATTGCATTATGTTGTATGGATCACTGCAAAATGTTCAGCACAATTTCTGACGAATGGAATTAGTGTTGTGACAGTTAAAGCACGCGCTAGAAGCCTGCTTGGTATATGTGATTGGTTAACTTCATCAAAACGACAAAGCTTATGCAGAATCAAGTTTCATCACATGATTGGGGAGAGGATCAATAGTTGTCAAACAAAGGATCGAAGTGGCACGTTACCGTGTCCTAGTATGATGTTCACTAAAAACTTGCATTCAAACCAGCCTGGTTGAATTCGACTTATGATTCCGATGTTAAGCATGGCTTAATATTGCCCTTAGTGGCTCCAAATGGGTAAGCATTCTTATTGGAGACAAAACTAGTGTTTGAGCTGGAGAAACAGCCCATTCTTTGTATGGATGCATGAAAAGCGCCATTCATCTTGGGATATGCGGGCGCGGGAACTCGAACCGTTTCTAGCTCTAATGACGTGCCCGTAGTGATAAAGGTTTACTGAATAAGGTGCTCTCATACCAATGATGATTTCTCCAACAGCAGTAGCCTACAAAGCTACACATACCCCGCTATACCTTTAGTGAATTGAAACAACTGTAACCGAATCGCTCGATCTTGGAGCTGTCCTATTTTAAAGTGAGAAGTACAGGTACACATAATATAAACGAAAAGACACGCCTCCAAGAGGACTTCAACCGCCAACCTCTCGCTTACCAAAGAAGTCTGTGCCGAGAACCTCTACTGTCCGTCACGCTTGTACGCCTTAACTTCACAGCTCACTCGCCATATCTCTGCCTAATGGGATAACAGTTGATGTTTTTCAGTACCATTAATAAGCCCTTGTGTTACACAATAGGCCGTACGTTGATATCGCTCAGAGACCCAAAGGGCTTTGGTGTAAACCCCTAGAAAGTAGATGGGAATTTCGTGAACCTTAAAAAAGGAACCCAAGTGCACGTTACGGTAAAGAAAAAACGCGCCTGGGCTTCTACCAATCTTCTGCTTGTCGCATGGGTGATCTACAGACACCCCACTTCACCTTTGCCATCCTTTTTGTTGCCTTTTCTAAGTCTACGACCGTCTGACTTGCTTGGACCGTGTCCTTACTTCCGTACAGATTCCCTTCGTTGAGAATTGGCCCATCCAACAAAACCATTGTTTCCATGTGATGATTACTGACGTCCGTTAGATGCTCCCACCCCTCTTTTTAATTTTTTTCAGGGCGGTGGCAAAGCCAGTTACTTGTTCGGGAAATATCAAAATAAAGCTACAGCCCGTAACAGTCAGCAGCAGAGTTCAACCTCAACTAATGGATGGAAGCGGTGAGTGTAGTGTATACCATTGATTTTTCCCACTACAGGCTGAACCTTCTGAGTAGTTTCCTTCGTGAAAATATGCTGCGATATCTCGAATATCGTTACAACTGAAACGTGAGACGGCATGTGTGCAGCACATTCAGTTGAAGAATAGCATAAACGAGAGATTCCGCTGAGTCCCTCTTAGAAACCAAATTGATTTCCAAATGAATTTCTTCTTATATTGTTCCTTAAAGTTGGGCGTTCCGAACCCATTTTGTTCTGGGTTCGTGCAAATGTAGCGTCATCCTACTGAAATGATCCCCCTCCGAAAAAGACCACCATGGCGAAAGAGAGTACTGGACCTTCCACTGGGGCTTGTTCTTTTCGTAGGGTCTGTAGGAAGACTGTCTTCTTGCAGAGCAATTGCACTTGCACTTGGTAGTACTGTTTGAGTTCGTTGTGTACCATAAGCAATAACAGCGGCGGTTTAAACACTGGGGCTTCACCATCGAAAAGCAGACAGCAACCGCAACCCCGGCAATGATCAGACGTATCATCGGTGTGTCGTAACTCATGGAAAGCTGCGCCCTAATCGGATGTACAAAATTATTCTAAGTCCTTTGTGATCACACTCGCATAGTTCGTTTGTAATGGTTGGCAGGAAGAATTTGCACATCAAAGTTTTGCATCACATTCCGTACGAGGTATAGGAAATTAGGGTGCATAATAAAAGCCACTTAGATTATGGGCGATTCTGTAAACAAGCAGAGCTCAGATATGTACGATGGTCGGTTGGATACTCTACCCTAGAATACAAAGTAAGCAATCCTACAATGGACTTTCATTTTTCCCATGGTTGATCCTGTCTCATTTCCATATTCTTTTCAGAAAAGCTCCAGAGCCCTTGCCAACAACCAATGCATTTCAACCGAAACTTATGAAACTATCCGTTAAAAGAGAATAAAACTATAGGCAGTATTTGACTGAACAGACTTATTTTGCATTTGTTTTTTACCGTTTTGAAAACCTAGCTACAGATAAATACTTGTACTCTTCGATGCTGTTTTAAAATGAAAGCTATGTGATGAAGCAATAGCTCAAAAGGTGAGGAGCTGTTTTTATCGGGTCGAGTTTCGATTGGTGCACCCGATTCACGGGTAGATTGTGTTTCTGTCAACATAAGTCATTCTCGTCATCCTTTTTCGGGAAAAAATGCTGATGACTGAGGTAACTAACGATTTGACTTAACAGCGAAATTCCTCACATCGCCTGAAATAGGATGCCGGATATGTCATCAAGAAACGTAACAGCAAAGCCGATCTTCAAAGCTGTTAATACTCAACAATATGCATATCTACAGAACTCTGTTAAAAACGTTTGCCCAATACATTTTGGAAATAATATACAATATGGAGATTTCGTCCTGTAAGTGAAGCCAATCTATGCTGAAAAGCCGAGAAGCACTGTACAGCTGTTTCATCCTTATTGGGAAGTGCAAGCTAATCATACTGCTGATAAGCCACTCGTGGCCGAACGGTTAAGTGTTCAAACTACTAGCCGGGAGGTCGCGGGTTCGAGACTCCTCGGAGTTTCGTGAGATGCGCACTGCTGATGATTCCCAATAAGGATGAAACAGCTGTACAGTGCTCGGCTTTTCAGCATAGATTGGCTTCACTTACAGGACGAAATCTCCACAAAAATCCCAAATCTCCTCACACTACCAACAATAATATACAATCCCGTGAAGAAGTATACCATGATTTTATCCCCTTTCATCGTTATCATTGTTGGGTTTGGTAAAATACTTTTCGTCATCATCCATGTTAGTGACAGTCTGCAACCGAAATACCTCTTTGTTTCATTGGCCATATTAATAATGGTGGCTTCATGCGTAGAACAGCCTTTTTGAGTATGCTGACTAGGCGATACAACTCATTAGGGTCATGTGCTTAATATATTCCGACACCAGCAACAACGGTTACATGGCCAACACGGTCCTATACAGTTTTACAGGATCTTGGAAGCTAATTTCTGTAAGCCAGTATTCATAAGCCAATCCCAACCACCTTGAAAAGCATCTGCTGTTGTTTATACCAACATCATTCGATGGAGAGTACTCAATAACGATGTTTGACGTATCTGTTTGCTCGGAGATCGTGACAGTCACGCGTACCTACTCTTGAAGCGCCCATGCTTTTACGGATTGTTTCCGATTCACTGGACTATGGGTCAATGTACTAAGGATTCGGTGTGCTGCGACTTGCCTTCCTAGTCAAGAATAAACAGTGTCGTACACTGTGTAATGGCTTCGGTGCAGGGTCGCGAGAAAAAGACAGTACAGCGAGGAATGCAACAGAAAACGTTATTAGGATAACCTATAAGCGCTCATAAACGAACAGTTGTGCAACGGGGGTGCTGTGTGTTCAATCCCTCGCTTACGTGCTGTCCCTCTCTATGGACATGGTTCTCAGTCCTGCCGTCTGGCGAGTATGAAGAGATGTTGATGACTGGGAACCTACCCTACGCGGGTCGGAATAATGAAATTCGGTACTGCATGTGTAACATCAGTCTCTGCGATAGAATTACAGGGAATCTTGTTTCACCACCACCCAGCAACATTGAAATGGAACGCCGGTGGTTCGCTGTCATACGACCGGGCTATTTCATTCAAATCAAGCTCTGTGGTCAACAGAGGGAAAATGGGAAAGGGGTCAGTAGCGGACCACTACAAGCACACTCGGAGCATAGACGAATTCGCATAGTCGGTGAATCTTTCAGTGCCTCCAGGCAAGCACAACTAGGGTCACGAAAGTCCACGGATCGCACTGACAGCCCTGAAACTTTCCTAGTATCATTCATTTCCTTCCGCTAGACCAAATTCCAGTTTGTTCCACGGGCATGAAAAACAACGCTTTTCTCGGGAATGATAAATTGGAATGTAGCGTACAACCGAGCCACCTTGACTTGCAATTTAGGATAACCTCTTTGACCGAAGTATTGATCTTTCACCCAGTTTCCGTCTCTTGATTACATTGAGAATTCGTTGGTTCTAAGATATCAGTGCTGAAAGACCAGAATGTTCCGCAGTCTTCATCAGAATCGGCCGCTCTGTAATTTGAAACATGCGCTCTTTAAACTAACAGGGGCCCTACAAAATGGATATACGGGTGGTTGGAAAAGCCAGCGGGGCATGACCCAATCGCATTCAGTAGGATTCTCATATCCGAGCTATTGCTCCTTCACGTTGGTTTAGTGACCACAACCACAAGATTCGCCCTTATATTTTACACTACCTTTCTTCAGTCCTGAAGTATTTGTTAACAAGACCATTGCTAAACTGTAAACGGTTTTGGTTGTTTAGATTCGGGGTGCTGGTGCTCCACTAGATGGGTGAATACATCAATACAAACTGCGGTGGCTCATCATTTTCTACATGTGCTGAGTTGTCCGCTATAGAAAAGGGCGTTTTCCGCGCCAGTTTCAGAGTGGCATCGACCAATTACACAGCGGACTGTTCCGTATTAGAAGCAGACTGCAGAGCCTGGACACTGTCTGCCTTCTAGGATGGGGCCCAGTTAATCCGCTCTGTATTTTGCTGGAGAGTTCGCAGCCGATGCCAGTACGTTCGTGCTATCAGTCTATCCAGATTAGGGGCTAAAAATGACCGAAAGTGATCACAACAGTCAGCTTGGTTACTGATCCTATCAGAAGGTAAGGTTCATTCGCGGGGTCGACAGCTGTCCGGTGAATACAGTTTCCATGTTAAAGCGGTCAATGTTTGTTGGGGAAGCTTGTTCGTATCGTGGTATTTTACCAGCGACTAAGACTGTGTTGACCCTGAAATCCGTAGAGAAATCCTCCCTTGTTCATGTCCAACACAAAAGCAACCCCACCAAAGTCTGTCTGCTTCAGTTTAAGTTTATCTCTTTCCTAATTCGACTCTTGATGGTTCTTTCGATATTCCGTCGCAATTTTTTTCCTGATACCAAGCGACATTTGGTGCCGCTAGATAGATGCGAAGTCTTCAGCAAACACACGAGATTTTGCAGGGAGTTGGAAATTCACTAGGGTATCCAGCACGTGAGACACCGGAATATAGGGACATTCGGACGGAAATAGGTGTATATTACAGCAAAACGAGATCCCTTAGAAGAGCGCCTACTCCTTTGAACGCCTTAGGTATCCTCCACAAATGTGCACGCGAAACCGACACCCCAATGCATAATTCTCAGTTTATATCGTCCAAAGCACATACACAAGGAAAACAAGTAGAAATTAAGATGGATGGGAACTCGGGAGCTACTCCTACCTGATGGGCCCTGAGGACGGAACCCGCAACGGATTTACGAAGAGCTCCCTTCAACTTTATTAGTGATATGTCAAGAAAGAAAACATCCTTACAGCAAAGTCCTCTCATCCCGATGATAGCAAACTACCCACCAATAAGACGGAACAAAGAAAATATGGCAATATCAACGTATACTGGTAATGCACTTTGGAGTAAGAAGTCAGGTGACTAGGTGAAGTGGATCACATGCAGCTCCGCGCATCCACAGGGAAGGATTACTTCGTTAAAGGAGTGAGAGGTTTGGCCCAGCTGTACAAAAACACTATCAGATCTGAGCCGGATATCCCACGAACTAAAGCTAGTTCATGAGAAACGAATAAAACTGCCAACGTAGATAATAAATGATAGCGGTAGACAACGGTAGTCCACTGAGTTTCAAAGTGAGGCTAACTCTGGAGGTAGTTCAAGTTGGGCTAGGTCTTTGAAGTGGAGTAGCATAGCCATCATTTTCGTCAGTCTTGGCAGAGTTGACGAGGAACCAGAGTAGCTGGACAAATTAGCCGCTGTAGAAGCTCTTCCTTCGTCCGCACCTTCGAGATCGTCACCTGATGCCTCAATATGACGTAGGATAGCACGGTTTAATGCTCCGGCAACCAACTCTGCGTGTTGCGGACCCAACAAACGACCATAGATGCTTTGACTCGGATCATCAAAAGCCAGGAGTGCCATTGTGTTCTGCATTTCGCTAAGCAGCTGTGGATGCTCTGAGAGGCGCTTAGCAACTGGGTCAGCAAGGTAGGATTGAGCAAAGATAAGAGCCTCTTCCAAGCGACGGTTCCGAATCAATTCAAGCATCTGTAGTTGCCGGAGCTGGTAAAATTTAAGAAACAAGCACGAATAAGTAATTGTAGAATAAACGAGAACACGAGTGCGAGGCGAAATCACAAACAAGAAACCTAAGGATGAACTGAAAGTGACGGACCCGCGCGCTACCCGATGAAGGTAGTGCTTTTGGATTTTTAAACACTAATTTGCAGATGATGGGAAGAAATAGACGGTTAAGAGCCTGGAAAGTAGTTGCTTTTTCTGTGGATTCTATTCCATCTCCAATATGATTCGGCTTCGTATTTGGCTGCCCACTATTCATGTCAGCTCTGGCTCACAATGCGCCAAACGCCAGACGAAGCAGGGTACTAAGACGTTATACAAAGGTAGCCCGCAATGCTCTCCTGGTAGTGGTGAGTGTGAACCTAGTGCCAGATCAAGATCAATGCACGATCAAGTCTTGAATTATAAAGTTTACACGAAATCGTACGTCAAATCAGCTAGGCGGTATGCAAAATTTGATGGCTGACAATGCTTAATAGGAAAACTTATTAGGAGGTAGCTGGACGCTTATTCTAAGTCCATGGATATCCTGTTTCCTCACCACCGTAGCATACCGGACAATTGTATCTTCGGCACATAGTCTATGATTGACACAGTAAGCTGAAATGGCGACTATCGGAAACGAAAAGGTTTCTGGTTTGGAACTCCTACCCCAATGGATGGTATAACAACCAGCATTAGTCGCACACCAAAAAACGCATACACATGAAACCTCGGACTGAACGGTTTATCACTGCTAATTTCCCCACTGAGATCCTATAGGACCGATTGAATTTATTAGATCGCTTCGGACACCCCAGATTATGGCTCTCGACAAGCGGTTATTCAAAAAACCAGAAAAGTCAGCCTGACGACAAGATGCGGGCTGTCTGCTAAAGTAAATAAGCAATGAGCCAACATTTTTATGCCGTCTACCGAACAAAAACAGTTCTGAAACAATCGTCACTCACATGCCTTAGATCAACATAAAGACATTGACATGAATGTCGTTTTACTTTCTTCACAAGGGCAAACAGCTTTGAATTTCTTCGGGATCTTCACACTTGAGGCGACCGCACCCAGTGTCCACAATTCAAAGTGAACAACTGCGACCAAATTAGCAAGCTCGGCAAAAAGCTATCCATACAATCTGAGCCCCTAGCATTTCCCTCAATAGCGATATCATCTTCATCTCAGACGAAAGAAATCCAGTAGCCCGCCTGATGGCGTCCAATTTCCTCGAAGTAATCCCACAATCCAATAAGACTACCAGGCGATGGAAAGCATGTGATCAAGGCAATATGTCCGCCACCATTCAGTGGCCATATTGATAATTTGTACCTAGGTGGCTCGAGAAACACACTGAGGTTACATAAAGGCTATCCGAACCGTTGATATTCTACACAACAATCGAGACATAAGACCGCAGTTGGAAACGATCTTCGCTGAAAAGCCTAGGAATACTGTAAGGCCGTCTCATCCCTGCTGGGAATCACCATCAAGCTCCAATTCACGGGTCTCTGTGGACCTTCGAACTTAAGACTCTGGATAAATGGTCGCATAACATATCTAGATACGAACGACTGAACACGTGCTTGAGTTCAACGAACCCTACAGATGTTGCCCTCTCCTGAGCAGTTGGCTACACAACAATATCCCACACTTGTAACGGTGTTGAATACGAACAAGTTTCCTGTTCGGTCTCGGAGGCGTGTGCTTGCAACAGTCCATAGTTCGACTTCAGAATAGAACTTTTCCAAATTAATTTGTATCTGGTCACGCAACTCAACAGTGGGTGCACAAATATCCATAATGCTGTTAAACTTCAAGGACCTTAGTGCACGACAAAACATGAAGATCGAAGCACACCATCTACGTCATATTTGTTACGTTCGTAGTGAACTATAAGGAGCGGTTTATTCTGTTGTCTCGTGCTGTTCGTACTGGTTTGTGCGTTTGTGGCTACGATGCAGAGAATTTAGTACTTCACACTAAGGTGACCCATTTACTGACTGATCAAGCAGAGGGACGTTACAATGTATTAGTGCACTGGTTCGTTAAGTAACTAAAATGACACGAAGGGCATGAGTTTATAAGTGTAGGGAAACTACTGAAGAACCACGAGATTTAAAGCAAAACCTAGTTTCTGTCTTTTAAAATACAGTGCATGATTAGGGTGATTGCATTTTGATCCAGCGGTGGAAATCTACTTGAATTTAAATTTAACCCCTGGACTTCAAGTGTTCTGTCGCCAATACGAATGCAAAATAGCAGTTCGTATAGCAAAGCAGGAACTGCGAACATTAGGATGGATTTAAAACGACGCGCATTTTCAAATCGAACTGAATGTAGGTCAAAATAACGATAATAATAATAATCTGCTTAAATAATTCCTATTATTGAATTCCTATTATTATTGGCGCAGGCACGGTAATAGCCCACAAGTAAACCATTATTCCACTGGAGTCAGTTACTTAACTGCACGGAAAACAACCGAAACTGTCGTACTTATAGACACCTAACCCTGCATCAGAAAACCCGCCTCACCGTAACCAAGCAATAAACCCACCTCTAGGCACAGTAAGATGAAAGCGAAAACTCCAAAAGGTACTTCTGGAGCCCTTTTTCTGCAAGAATCTTGTTGAAAAGAATACTAGTATATATGACAGCCCAGTATTCCGAACAGCATGATGTGCTTGATAGCAAAACTACCAGGGGACCACCAACTTGAGGACAAGGAGAGTTAATCAACATACTGAATCACTAGCCAACAGAATATGAAAAAATGCGACAAACTACAGAGTCCGTAACTGTTAGCCTTCAAACCTAAGGACAGGTCACATGATACTAGCGTGCTCTTCGACATAACACCTGACTCTATTAGCTAAACAGCAAAGCTGGTGATCGGCAACACGTGTTGAAGCAAACACGATAAGTACAAAGTTACACAAAACCAACTGCATGAAATTAAGGCGTTGCTAACTTGAAAATAGATGAATGGATTTTTGTCGAACAATTCGGGCCACAAGCGATTCACAGTGTCAATAACATCCTCGATTTGGCGTCGAAGCACCGCCTCTCGAATCCACATTCGATCTTTTAGACTCTCACCAGAAACCCGCATTTCTGTAAGCGGTTAAGAAATCCCAGTTTCACGACTAAACTTCTCAGCGGCATCCTTGTAACCTTCAACAACGAGGTATTCCAAAATTAAACGATTGATCTCCTGTCGAGTTAAACTCAATCCTTCTTGATTCTCGATCGATCCTAAACTATGTAGTGGCATTCCCGCAGTAACGAGGTCACCAGCGGGAGTTGAGTCGGTCTTGTTTGTAACAGCAGGATCGATGCTTCGAACACTAGTGGAGGATTGTGAGGTAGCCATAAGCTGAAAAAATGAAAGACGGTGAATTTTTTCTTGAAAATACAACGGGGTTCATTAACTCCACGGATTAGTCTACTTCGTCTACCTAATCATCATACAGGTTTGTGAGAAAGACGTCTCTACACATTACGACCTCAGTATGATAAGACGGATCAACAAAAACCTGCTCTCATATTATTCAATCTGTAGCAATGACTGGTTAGATATTCTCAATCAGAAAAAAGTTTTAGAGGGGTATATACATTTTTCAATACACTTACGACTTTTGGAGAAAGGGACAACATTTTGTAAAGATGGTGAGAAAAAGTGCAGTGAGGTGAGCAACAACACGGAGTTTAACTGGTTGAAGGATGTAGGAGCCAGCGAAAACAAGAGGTGTAAGAAGTGCCAAAAGAAAAGAGATAATAGTGGCAAATATTCGTCGGAGATAGATGGATGAATAGATGTGCCTCACGATTGAGAGACAGGGAGGTGGTGGGAAGCTGATTTCGATAAAAGCCTTCTGTGGTAAGAGTAAAATGACGCAGGATACGTCATGTCCCAACGGATAAAAAAGTCTGCCAGTCACCACCAGGAAAATATAAGTTGGCGTTCAACTAACAAAAAGGGATGAGCAAGTGAGAAGCGAAGAGTAAAAACAGAAAGTCAATCTTCCCAGACGCTAGTCTTGCGAGGACTCTGACTTGTATTGACCAGGATGTTGCAAAATGTCAGACGGAGGGTGAATAAAAGGAAATTTGGAACCATATCGGATCATATGAATAGTCTTAAACCAGTGGTGGGAGAATAAAACAAGACGGGTACAGTGGATCTAGAAGAGCTATATACTGCAACCCCCAGTAAAGAATGATGGCCGTGTGGTCTTCAGTGGGGTGGTAGAATTCCTATGCACTACTACACTATGTTCAGCTGTAGCACCCTTTCGGTGCCTAGCTGCCATGCCACCTGAAGGAAGCACGAGGGCTGGGATACTGCCAGGTTGTCCAAACCTAGACAGGGGAAGTCGAGTGGCGGAGGTCGGATTCGAACCACGGACCTTCCGGTCAGTGAGTTCGCGCTCTAAGCACTTGGGCCATCTCACCCCCGTAGAACTCCTATGGTCCTAGCAAAATCGGAGCGATGGGGAGTGCTGACTCGTAAAGCAAAGGTTACATCATTTACAGAACATGAACTAGAGAAGAACGGTTGAGAAAAGATAGTTTGCGATTAGAATAAACCTGGTGCAATTACCAACCCTTGAAAAACTCAACTTCAGGTGATCCCGCGAAAGGATATTACCATCCGGATTGGGAAGACTAGAGCTTTTGTGGACTTGCATCAAATGTGGCGTAGGCGCGACATCAGTGGTCGAGTTTACAATACCGCAGTGCACTCCATGTCACTATACGGATCAGGAAACTGGACGCTGTATGCTGAAGACGTCAAACGACTTTCAGTGTTTGACCATCGATGTCTTCGGAGCATTACTCGAGCCTGTTGGGAACGACGGATCCGTAATGCTGAAGTATGTCGAATTGTTTTCGGAAGATGATGAACTGATCACATTTGACAGATTGCACTAGCTTGGCCACGAAATCCGTATGTTTGTCGACCGACTTCCTCAAAGGGCTCTTTTCGTGCGACCATGCGAACGGCGGAAACGAGCCAGAAGAGGTCTTTCAATGGCATGGCGCCGAATTATGAAAGCCATTACCAGTAAACTCAGTAAACTCACTCAATGAACTCAAAGGGACACATCAATGGTTGGAGATGATCCGGATCAAAGAGATGACGCACTGAAAGACTGTGGAAGGATCTCCTGACAGCTTGAACTCGTATGAACCTATGGACCATCCTGATTGAAAATTTCTACGAAATACATCGAGCAAGCCATTTCAGTAAACGGTATTCGGACCCGACCGCATACGATAAGAGTGTTAAGAGTAACACCGTGGATAGGAGGTGGATGCATCTCGACAGGAATTTATAAAGGGTAATATTCTAATGGAAATTGACCATGTAACATCGTCTACTTATACTGTCCCAAATAAAAACCGGTTTACAAGCTGGCCAACAAGGTCTGCACGAACTTTTTTCACAGTTAGAGATTTGGCCGAATTCAGCATCAGACCTAGCAGAATAGAAGTGTCTTACCGCGGATGGTCATGTGGCAGGCGTAGTCTCGAAAACAAGTGACGTAGTGCACAAGAGTGGTTTTCAAACAAACTGGCACTAGACGGGCGAAAAACTACCAGTTTTTCAGACGAATAAACCATCAACGAGAAATATTTCTGTGGGACAGCGAAACAGCTATTGGGAAGGGATACGAGATTACAAAAAAGTAATGCAAGTACGGTGGTTTGTGTTTTACGGGTTCTGAGGCATGTCTTCTCAGTCGAAGCACCATCCTTGTCATCATTTTTGATAGCAAAACCAATCAAGGACACTGGTGCTTAATAAATAGTCTAAGCAGGGGTAAGGATACACCTAGAAGCTGAGGGCGCGATTCTTTCTCGACGTACGACCTGTGTATCGGTCTTACTGTGATGAAAGCCAGCACATTTTTTAACTTCCATATTTTCAAGTTCCCTTGGATGATGACAACTTAATGCCATCTGTGAAGAGAAACGCGGGGTTTATCAGTTTCAGTGAATTCGTCCATGAAAATCAAAAAGACGGAAGTTTGATACTCTGGACTACATTGCTTCCCACAGGTATCTTCTGCTCTGGAGTATGAGCCTACCAGGTGTGTATATTAGGAATTAGTTAATCGTAATGTGGACCTTGTTCTCTATTCTTGAGCCCATACTTCCGATAGTGACAAGATGTTTGACCACCACCATTATTATCATTGAGAGCAACACCAGATTGGGACATTGGTATTTCACTACCGTACAAACATGCCACTTTGTCTGAACAGAGCCTTATATTTGGAAAAACACGACATTTTAGAGGACCTAGCGCTAGCCTATAACGAATGTCATAGGTATCCAATCTGGATACAATCTGGATAGAAAGTGACAGCAAGAACATCACATCGTCATCATTGTCAGCTGTAAGAACCGCGTACTTGTACGGTGGTTGTAGCTGCTACATTGCAGCTGCGCATTGGAGGCGAAAGCTGACATAATGCGTAAATACACGGTTGTCAGGGGACTTTTAGGTGGGAGCTTGGACAAGCAGCCATGCATTGAAGGCAATAGCTTGGATCCACCAGCGCCACTGAGGGCGCGGCTGAGAAAGTCCGACAATGTCTCTAACCATTAATGTGTCCCGTCTCGGCGCCCCCTCCTAAGGGGACGGCAATGACCAGCGCAACTGAGTTTACTGGTAATGGCTTTCATAATTCGGCGCCATGCCATTGAAAGACCTCTTCTGGCTCGTTTCCGCCGTTCGCATGGTCGCACGAAAAGAGCCGAGGAAGTCGTCGACAAACATACGGATTTCGTGGCGCAGCCCTTTAAGGAGTGTTCTGAATTTTTGAAGGGCATCTTTGCTCCATAGACACTGCCATTAAGCCTGACGGTCCACAGAGTCAAAGGCAGCTTCCAAGTCAAGTAAGACAACCATTGTTCCTTGCTGGAAACAGTGTCACTTTCAGAATCTGTCGGAAAGTGAACATATGAACGACGTTTCCTATTGCAGGATGGAAGTCAGCTTGGTTTTCATGGATCTGTGTTTCCCTGTGTTCGGTCAACCACCGAAGGATAAGACCACAAAAGACCTTCGGTGCCACGGCTACCAGACTGATGCCACCATAGTTTTCACAGAGCATCCACATACCCTTTTCGAAAACACGAATGTGTCGACATACCGTACTCTGCTGGCACTTTCTCTTCGTTCCATTTCGCACCAATAAGCACTGTTAGGTGAGTCAACGGATAGCACTGAAAACCGCTAACATGACACCTTTCACATTTTGCCACGCTTCATCCACATGCTCACTGCCACAATATTGGTCTACTGTGGAGAGTCGTTGGGATAGCTGAGATCGATAGTGTTGAGCTACGGTAGTTCTTCGAAGATAGTGGCATGCTTCTTGCTGACTTGCAAGGGCCTGAAAGGAAACGAACTGTCAGGCGTAAACGCATCATGGCGTGACCCGAAACAAGTTATCTGCCCCAGAAGCAACGGCAGTCTTGAACTGTAGCTCTCCACCGGTGGCTGATGGCGGTGTGATCCGACTGGGTCCACGGTTACAACGGCAGTGAAGCATCAGTGCCCACACTGATGTTGCTGTCTTTGATGATGATGATGATGAGGACGATGCGATGAGAACGTTTATGCTAGAAGTTCGTTATGACCAGAATAAGTTCATGATTAGCAAGTAACTGGAGGAGTCGTTCTCCGTTATCTGTGCGACAAGCACTGACTCCGAATCGACTGCCCTGGTGTGGTTCCAAGGAACCCAGACGACCGAACGGGGCATTTATATTGTTACCCAATGATCAAAATGTCAGTGCTTCTTGCTTGAAGAATGATCTTGGATAACTCCTGATAGGCAGTATCCTTCCCAGCATTCGAACTGTACTCCTTTGGGGCATGAGCCGACACTACAAATAGGCACCGTCTTTTATGTCGAGGCATTGAGCTTGATTGAGCTGGATAACCGGACGAAGCAAAGACTACTGCTCACTGAGATCCAAAACCAACAAAGCGCGTTCAGCTCTGGGGCTGAGTGCAACTCCCACGCGATATATTCTACGAACCTTTACTTCTGGATCACCAGACACACAGAGGGAGAAATGCGAAAAAGCTGAGTTAATCGTTGGCTCTTTGAGATGCATTACGATCCCTGAGTCTTACATAAGTGTTTCATGGACACGGCTTACATCAATTTTAAAGAGGTATAAGGTTTTAGCGAGCATTGCCTGTTTGCCAATTTGACACTCATTACGGACGCTTCAATCTCCTATGTAGAGAAGATCTCACGGATTTGGAAGTGTTATTTCGTTCGTTATTAATGGGCAAAGGGGCGCATAAGGCTCATCAGTCAGATAACTGATTCAAATGACTCAGCAACGTTTTTGTA